CCAGTTCTCAAAGCAATGCGGGTTTCATTATGTATTTGGGTTTAGGGTTTAGGGTTTAGGGATGTTCCCTTTATACTAACGGTTCTTAAGAGGCATTACAGTACCCCCCCCCCCCTATGATATGGTTTAGGGTTTTAGTCAGGCCGAAGCCTCACTCCTGGGTTTTAAAAAAGGGGTGCATCTGCAGATCAGCCGGCTGCAAGAGGGTTCACATGAACTGTGCGTGAGTCGAGAACGCATGATCTTCAGCAAGAATCTCGTTCAGTCAGCTGTTTATTCCTAGACCCGAAATTGAGGCAAGGTTTTAGCCAAACACTTCATGAACTAGGGCTTTCTTTAGTATTGGAGTATCCCAAAAAGGCTCATATATATATATATATTTTTTTTTTATATTGTTTGTCCCCAGCAATATTTACGACGAACCCTATCTACGCTCAACAAGAGCAACTGTATAGGGGACCCCAAAATAGTGGGCCCAAATTGAAAGAATTGCCCGTATGCGCTCAGCAAGAACAGTTTGGGATGTTCCCCCTAATCCTAGCAGCTCCTGAACATGTAATAGGGGTTATCGTAGCCCCTATTAATTCCCTATTAAGGAGCAGTTAGTCTAAGCGGGGAACATCTCAAATACCAGCAATACTACTAATTGCTTAAGAACCCCAAAAGAACAAAAACAAAAAAAAAAAAAAACAACAATCCCTGTCGTACCCTTCATGAGGAAGAATAGTTTTATTCTTTCTGGATTCTTAAGCAATTCCCAAAGAGCCCAATACCCCTTAATTAAGCAATATACCTTAAATCATATTAAGGATCCCTATATAAATTAAGCAATATTCCCTAATTAAGGGATATTGGGCTCTTTGGGTTAGTAGAATAGAAGCCCTGCTTCGCACGGTGAGGAGCTGGAAGCAATGAAGTCAGCAGCTGGCCTGCAGGGGTGCCAGCGATCTCCTCTCTTGAGTTTTGGGTTTAGGGGTTTAGAGTTTGGGGTTTAGGGTTTAGGGGTTTTGGGGTTTGGGGGTTCAGGTTTGAAATTTGGGCTGTTCCCCCCTTATGCTAACAGTCCTTCATAGGGATTAGAGTACACCCTAAAATAAGAATCCCTTTTAAGGATTGTTAGTATAAGGGGGAACATCCCAAGGTTAAACCCCTAAGCTCTGAATTTGGGGTTTTGAGATTTGGGGTTTCATGTTTAGGGTTTGGGTTCACCTCTCAGGGTTTAGGGTTTGGGGTTTGGGGTTTAGGGTTTAGGGTTTAGGGTGGCTATCAGGGGTTTGAGACTGTCAGGAACGTCCGTCATGGCTAGGCCCTAAACCCTAAGCCCAAAGAAAAAAGTACAGGAGTCCTCCGTATCGTTTGGTTTAGGGGTTTAGGGTGTAGGGTTGCCCCAGTTACGGCAAGGGTTTAGGGTTTAGGTTTAGGGTTTAGGGTTTATAGGGTTTAGGGTTTAGGGTTTAGGGCTTCAAGGGTTTCAAGGGTGTGGGAGGTATCCAAGGGATACTCGGACTTCGCTCGCCCCCAGGCCATCTGGAAGGAGCATGAGGTGGCGTTCAAGGTGCATGAAGCGAAGGGAGATGCAGTGTTGCCCTTGTCTTTGCTGCTGAGCATTGTTAGTCGCTTTCACGAACAAAGTAACGAAGCCTAAATGATCAGAGTATGGGGTCCTGGTGCTAGAGAGCAGCAATCGTAGTGAAGTTGACGGCCGAAGCGAAGCATTCAAATGATTGAACAAGCTACCCTTTCATCCTCCATACTTCCCAGCGGAGCAGCCAAGAAGCGTTGGCAGGCTTTCGGAACGCGTAGCCCTCAAGCCTGAAACCTACAATCGTGACTCCCCGACATCAGCAAAAGCTCACGCTGAGCAGGGTTTCGGCTGGCAGACCTTCTTGGGGTTCAAACTGTTTCACGCACACATGCATGTGTGCTGGATGGGCACGTGTGCGTAGGAAGCCGACAGCTTCAAGCCAAGTGAGGAGGCCGAGTGGGCCGGGAAGCCCAGACATTGACTAAACTCCTATACACCAGCTGCCACTCCCTGCCGTTCTGGGTGCTTCTAGTCAGTTCTCCCTTTTCCGGGTGCTTATTCTCTGTTCTCCCTTAGATGCGCGCCTTACTCAGCCACTGCGTATCGACGTCGGTACCTTAATGAGCCAACGGGCTACTGTACTATTAACAGTATTCCCTTCTGATCCCTTTGTATTTATACTGTCATAACCCCCCAAAACCCTGTTCTTATTATTTAGCCGCCTATATTCGCTGCGCAGAGCAGCCCCTTCACCAGCCCAGGTGGCCACGAAGTGGGAAGGCTTCGTCCGGCCGACGGTGGCTCCGCACGTGTTTCATCCACCAGCCCATGATCCTAGGAAACGGTTGGCAGCAGCAGTTGGCCATGGCATTTGTCTTTATGCATATGTGCTTACACTCACAGCGGGCTTCTGCCTTTGTGGTGCTTTACTGTAACTTTAGATCCTGAGCCTTTTGGGGTTAAAAATTGGGTTTAGCTAAAAAATTTTATGTATAGCTACCCTCCTAAGTGCAGCAGCCAAGCTGAACCCTAAACCCTAAACCCTAAACCCTAAACCCTAAACCCTAAACCGTTGGACTCCATAGTGTTCAGGACCTGTCATCGGCCGGTGCTCTTGAGGTTTGAGAGTGGTCAGCCCAGGGAGCCGCAGTCTGATGACAAATGTGACATTAGGGTTTAGGGTTTAGGGTTTAGGGTTTAGGGTTTAGGGCTTAGGATTTAGGGTTTAGGGTTGAGGGTTTAGGGTTAAAATGTTCTGACAGGACATGTCAAACTCACATCCGACTGGCCTGGACATCGAGCTGCTGAGGAAGATCGGGGAGAGGCTTTGCAACTTGGCTTCGGCAGCTTGATCCCTAAACCCTTAACCCTTAAACCCTTAACCCTTAACCCTTAAACCCTAAACCCTAAACTTGGGATGTCACCCCTTTTACTAGCAGTCCTTCATAGGGTTTTGATAAGGGGGAACTATCATCCCTATTAAGGGCTGCTAGTATCAGGGGGAGCATCCCAACCCTGAACCCTAAACCGAAGCAACAGTGTTGAAAGGTTTAGGTTTAGGGCTTTGTGGGACTTCACCCGTAGCGTTAGATCCTTACCTTTTTTGGGTTTATTGGGTTTCAAAATTAAGGCAGCTAAAGTTTAATTATAGCTACCCTCCTGAGTGCAGCCAAGAGGGCTTAGGGTTGGATCGTCACCTCAGGGTACAGCAGAAAGCTTGTTTTCTCCAACATCAGGGCCAGTTTTTTGTGCGTAGTCACAGTGTTTCGGGTGCGATGCCTTCTGTTTTCGCCTATCATGTGTTCATCATTCCCGTTTGAATTCACGTATTTCAACATGCTTGTGCTGCAATAGCAGCCGTAGCAGTTGCTGCAGTAGACGCGGCATGACGTGGCCGTTTTGATGGTCTGATCCCAGGCTACACTCCTGAAGGCTTCAAGGCCATGGCCTTAGCTTTGAGAAGCCCTGGTGCAGCCTCTCAGCTTGGTATTTAGGTTTAGGGAGATCCCTGGGCGCAGGTCCACAATGGCTTAAAGCGGCAGTTGAAGAAGAAGAGCGAGGCGAGGACGTCATGCTACATGTGCTGCTTGCTCCCCTAAACCCTAAACCCTAAACTTAAACCCTAAACCCTAAAGTAGGAAATCGGCTATGGAGCGCTCGTTCGCGATGCCACCCCTCGCACGGTTTGCTGCATTTGTCCTCAAATTCCAGAGAGCACGCCAGTGTGTAAGGTCGTGTTGTGACAGCACCCTAAGAGGACTTGGAGGCGGGTGAGACCATCGACTGGGCGACGGCAGAGGCCTTGGCCTTTGGCAGCCTGCTCCTGGAGGGCAACCACGTGCGCATCTTGGCCCAGACACTGAAGCCCGGGTTTAGGGTTTAGGGTTTAGGGTTTAGGGTTCACTACTGTTAGCTTCAGAACCCCCACAAAAAATAAAGAAAAGCCTTCACTACGAGCTGCGTAAGAACCCCCGAAAATAGAGGAAAAACCTTCAGTACTGTTTGCTAAAGAGCCCTAGAAAAGCAAAGACGATTCTTCCTTACGAGGGCAAGATAGGCGTTCATATTTGTTGTTTTCTTGGGGGGTTCTTAAGCAAATAGTAGGTCAAGTAGGCAGCAAAGGGGGGTGAAGCCTCAAAGCCTAACACCTTACCAGGCGGGCCCTTGGGCTATTTGTGTTTTTTCCTGATTGGGTTCAAGAGGCTCAGAGTTAGGAGTCTTCTACAGGGGCTCCTGAGTTCCATCCTAGCTTAAGACCCTGAGCCAAGTGGCAAGTCCTTGCATGGAGCTTTGTGGTACTTTAAACGTATCTTTAGATCCTTACCTTTTTTTTGGGTTCCTTGGGTTTCTTAGGAAGGCAACCTAAAAAGTTTAATTTGCAGCTACCCTTCTGAGTGCAGCCAAGGGAGGCTTGGCCATGCGAGATTCGGGGCTCTTCCACCGCATCGGCTCGAAAGCACCCGAAACCCTAAACCCTCTAAGCCCTAAGTGCCAAACCCTAAACCCTAAACCCTAAACCCTAAACCTTAGGAATCTAGCCTCTTGCAACTGCACAGTCCACGAAGCTCTTGGGTCTTCATCCCTCAAGCCATCTGAAGCCCAATGAACTTGGGCCCCCCAAAACCCTAAACCCTAAACCCCAAACCCCATAAACCCCCCATAAACCCCCCTTGGACCTCCTATGAACCCCTATGAAACCCCCTGTAAACCCCCCTTTGAACCTCCTATGAATCCCTATTACCCCCTATGAACCCCTATAAACTATAAGCCCTACTTCTGCGAACATCAGCTCAGCCATGCGATTTGCCAAAAAGCTGCCCTACCGACTTGAGACATGGTAGGGTTTAGGGTTTAGGGTTTAGGGTTTAGGGTTTAGGTTTTAGGGTTTAGGGTTTAGGGTTTAAAAAACTGCCCTGGCGACTTGACATGGAACGCCATGGGATGGCTGCTGCCCTCCTGAGACAGTGTGGGGTGGATGGAAGGCGCTGTGGGAGGTTCCTACACCTCATGACAACTTGCAGGGTTCCGTGTTTGGGGTCTATAAGCTTTTTAGGGGGTTTAGGGTTTTGGGGGTTAGGCCCAGAGGCTTCTCAACAAAATGTGCTGCGGCTAAATTAGCCTGGGGGCCTAGTCCAGTTGGTGTGGGTGAGGATGTATCTTTGGGCGGGGCCGGGCCTTTTGTGCTACAGGGACGACGAGCTGAAGCGGTTGCCTCTCTGCGGTAGTAGGGTGAGGGGGGGGGAAGGGCGAGGGGGGGCGGCCCTAAAGCCTATAAACCCTCAACCCGCTAACAACATCCTTGAAGTCCAAGCTCGTGAGCTGGCGGACCTCAGAAAACCTTAAACCCTAATACCTGTTAACCTTAAACCCTTCATAAACCCGAAGCCCTAAGCTCTTCAGAGCCTTAAACCCTAAACCCTATACTCGAAACCCGTGATGGTTTGCTTTTGTTCGGAAGCCATGGGCTAGCCCCTTGGGATTGTCGTGTCTTCATCAAGCCTTACAAACGAGGTTGAAGCACCTGGCAGCCTCCCCGTAGCCCCCAGAACCAGGTGACTTGTGGGTCGTTTACTCGAAACCCTAAACCCTAAACCCTAAACCCTAAACCCTAAACCCTAAACCCTAAACCCCAATTCGGCCTCAGCCTGAACCTTGGCGTACTTCCTTAGATTTTCCCAGACCAACCTTTTAACCCCGCTGTGCCGTGGCTAGCCCTAAACCCTAAACCCTAAACCCTAAACCGAAAACCCTAAACCGAAGAGAAACCCTAAGTTATGGGCTTGGAGGAGTCGGCCTCCTCCGCGAACCCGCCAAGTTCGCCACACGCTGGGCGGAGAATCCGAAGGAGCTCTCGGCACTGCTGTGCCTGTGGCCGAACCAGGAGCGCTTTAGGGTTTAGGGTTTGGGGTTTGGGGTTTGGGGTTTAGGGTGTAGGGTGTAGGGTTTAGGGTTTAGGGCCAGGGTTTAGGGTTTCACCCCCCCCCCCCCCCCCCCCCAAGTACCCCTCAATAGGACCCGAAGTGGGGTCTAGCCCTCGTGCCTCTCCCCTCCTCCCCGGTCTCCTCTTCCCTCTCCCCTGTCTGCTCTCCTCTGTCCCCTCTGCTTTTTAGGGTTTAGGGTTCAGGGTTTAGGGTTTAGGGTTGTCTGTTTCTCACCAAGATGTCGGCATGCTTCAAGACTCCCAGCTGAGTGCTTTTTTGGCTCTAGATGAGGCCTCCAGTCCTTTAGGGACCCCTGGGCTTCAGTTCTTCATGGGTTTCCCCTGTGCCCCTCTCTATACTACCCCCCGTGCACGGGGGTCCCCCCCTTAACCTTCATGAGGCTTAATTATACCTAAATAGTAGCCCTGATTATGGGAGAACCTAGGCGAGGTAGTTAGCCTTAATGAGGCTTAATTATCCCTAAGTAGCCTTGATTATGGGAGAACCTGGGGGGGGGGGGGGTAGTACCGAGGGGGTAGGCGACCGGCCGAGGAATCGCCTGGCAAATGGCGGAGGCGTCCGAGAGTGCAAAGATTCTTGGGTTAGGGTTTAGGATTTAGGTTTTTTAGGGTCTAGGGTTTAGGGTTGCAGGGTCTAGTCAAGCAGAGCACGACAAGGAACCCAAGTCTCATAAGCTCCAAGCACAAAAAAATGCTTCCATCCTAAATTCCGAAAGCGAACTGCTCTCGGCCAGGCTTGTAAAGGTTGAAGAGATGAGAACTGATAAGGGTGCAGGCAAACCTATCCGCTGCACGGAGCCTTTCCATCCTAAACCCGGAACCCGATGAAGGCGATGTGTTCCGTGCCCTGCACCAGCTTCGAAAGGCCAACGTGCCCAGGCCAGCGACAAGGACTGGAACGTAATTAAGCTTCAGTTCAGTGCTTCATAGACCCCCACAATAGCGCAGGAGCCTAGATCATTGCTACTGCTATCCCCTTAGTTACAACCCAACCCATATATGAATACATGCATATAAAATAGATAATACATATACATATCTATCTATATACTTTCAAAAAAACTACTTTTGTTAACATCATGATTCGTACACCATCTCAAATGCGACAGCAATGACCTGCATACCGCTTTTGAAGGGATTACAAGCCGGTTTGGGGCATACTGTTGGGGGGTTCAACTGAGTCTGGCTCACGGTTGGGGACAGCGCGCGAAAGCAAACGGCTTAGAGTGAAACAGCAGAAGCAGAACTAGGTCGGACCGTGGGACGTGCTTTCATTCCTAACCCTGAAGCGTGTGGCTGGCTTGCTGGTTGCTAGGCGGCAAGGTGCCCCAATGAACCCCAAATTTCCTGAACCCTAAACCCTAAACCCTAAACCCTTGATTCGCTTTCTAGCCGAGGTGCCTTTGAACGTCGTGCATGTCAACGTGGCCATCAAGGCTGACGGGTAGGTCCCTTGATACCTTCTTTCAAGGGTTCTGAAGTACGGGCCCTTGGGTTTTTATTGTAGGGTGTGAAAGGGGTGCTCATTTAAGGGACCATACTACCCAAAGATTGCTGTTATCCTGGTCGACTTAGTTTGCCGTGTTCTCGTTCTCTTGGGGGCTAGATCATCAGATCAAACCATGCCAAAAATGTACCCTAGGCTTTCACCTTGGTTATTGGAGCACCCTTTCCTGCGCTTTTTCCCCATATTCCCTTCGCATCCTTGTATGGCAAAAGGAGATGTTCTAGGGGACTCCTTGTTAACAGCTTGCATTTACACATGAGGTATGTATGGTAGCCGTGATTGCCTGGGCCGCACACAAGGGTTCGTGGGGAAGCTGCGAGCTTAAGATGTCGCAGAGGCCAAAACAAGCATGCAGAACGCACCCTGCTGAGCCCCGTTTTCCGAGGCTCTAAACCCTAAACCCTGAATGGTAAAAAAAAACCCTAAACCCTAAGGTGTTCCTTCACAGGTTCAGGGGCCCCACCCTGGACCCTACACCCTACTAACCCAACCCATCATCGCGGGATGTCCCCTGGAGCGCGGCACCCAAACCTCGAACCTAATTTTAGGGTTCAGGGTTCAGGGTTCAGGGTTTAGGGTTCAGGGGAGGGCGAAGTCTCTTGGAAAAGGGTTTAGGGACTCTACTACAAGCCTACAACCCTACCCGCCATGGGCTTAGGGTTTAGGGTTCAGGGTTTCGGGGACCTTCAAGACCCTGCGACCTTACAAACCCTACCCGCCCTAAACCCTAGACCCTAAACCCTAAACCTCAAACCCTAAACCCTAAACCCTAAACCCTAAACCCTAAACCCTAAACCCTAAACCCTAAACCCTAAACCCTAAACCCTAAACCCTAAACCCTAAACCCTAAACCCTAAACCCTAGCCAGGCCGCCCGATCCAGCTGGCCCTTGGCACTCCAGGTGCTCTGCGAGGCTCCCGACCTGAGCCTTGGCCGATCTTCGGGGGTTTAGAAGGTGTAGGGTTTAGAAGGTGTAGGGTTTTTTTGTGGGAGTGAGGATTTAGGCGGTGCAGGGTCTAGGGTTTGGCGTTTGTAGAGTTTGCAGGTTTGCAGGAGCACTTCCGAGGATCATCGCTTACAGTACCCTTGAATCCCTTTATACACATTGCATAAACTCATTTTTCAGATCCTAAAAGCCCAGATTGTGAGCGATGGTTAGCCGCAGCTTCACAATTTCGGGCAGGATTCAACGGATTCAGCTTCTTTTCACGCTAAACCCCAAACCCTAAACCCTAGACCCTAGACCCTAAACCCTAAACCCTAAACCTAAACCACCCTGCGCAAGGACAGTAGATCCCGATGTCGTCTCCTTCAACTCGGTGATCAGTGCCTGCCGAGCTAGTTGGCCTTGTGCGCTGGCACTGCTGGAAAGCATGGAAGCAAAGCGGGTGGCTGCGACGGACGCCTCAGGGCAGGGGATGAAAAGTAAGGAGGTCTGGGTTTAGGGTTAACCTTTTCGGGGTATGATACTCCCGGTACTGGATAAGACGATTCAATTAGGCAGGTTATAACCCTGGTTATAAGTCGGGCAACCCATGTTATAACCCCGATAACTCCACCCAAAGTTCACCCCTAACTTCTCTACTACTTATACCCTTAGTTACTGGGGTTAGGGGTGAGTTATGTAAGTGTGCCAGGAAAGTTATAAGTTAGTTAGGGTTTAGTTATAGTCAAGTTAGGGTCTAGTTACGGGTTCGCGTTGTTTTTGCTTCTGCAGAAGGCAGTGTTGGCCTGGAAGCCGTGATATAGCGAGGATGGCTGGCGTTGTCGTCTGAGGTCAGTAAAGGAAGTGTTCTCAAAGAGAAACTTCAGTCGCACGTCTTGCTGCCATTTGCTGTCGTTTGTGTTCAAGCCGAAGTGTCAATTGGGGTCATGAACGCAATACGGAGATCGCACCACGAAAGGGTGGAGCGACGGCGCTTGCAGCTGATATCCTTTGCGAGGTATTGGACTTTCGCTTCACACCATGCCCACCCTTTCGTGGTGCGATCGCAGTATTGCGTTCATGACCCCAAGTGACACTTCGGCTTGAACACAAACGACAGCAAATGGCGGCAAGACGTGCGTTTGTTTTCAGCTTTGGGGCCCTGTCGGCCCGGTGTCGGCCTGTGTCGGCCCGCTTCGGGGACTACGCTGGCTGGCCCTGGGTCCGCGTGTCGGCCCGTGTCGGCCCAACGGTTTTCCATGGTTATTACTAAGCATTTTAACGGTTTCCCTTTGTCGGCCCGTGTCGGCCCATCGGCGCGCATGATTAGGTGGCTGGGGCTCCTGTCGGCCCGGTGTCGGCCTGCTCTGCCAGCCAGATCCCAAAAAAACCATGTTTCCTTCCGAAAAAAACATGTTGACTGTCGATGCTCCTTCTGAGTCTTGGTGACGACTGAATGAATTTCCTGGTTTGCCCGAAGCAGCTGGCTCAGTCCTTCTTGTCTTTTGCCTCGACTCCTCGACCTCGCAGACAAGCCGGGTGAGGCGTTGGTGCCAGCACCAAAGAAGGAAAAGCTTTGCCAGCTTTGCCGCCGTGTCTGCAGCCCCGACCTGGCCGATAGTGTTTCTTCTTTCCAGCCTTGCCAGCAGAATCCCTGGACCTTGTCTGCCTGGGGCGATATGATGGAGCTCACCTCCTCTGCTTGCATTGAAAAGGTGTGTAGATCTGCCAATTTCGGTCCTACATGGCAAACCATCAACACCTTGAAACACACACCGGCGAAAACATAGTTAGGTCGAAGTTACGGATCCACCCTAACTAGGTTATAAGTTACTTAACATAACTAGAGTATAAGTCACTTATAACCCCGGTAACCGAAACGTCTTATCCAGTATAAGCCCAAAGGTGAACCTCTCGTTCCCTAGGGTTAACCTTTAGTTCCCTAGGATAATGGACAGCTAAACCCTAAACCTTAAACCCTGAACCCTGAACCCTAAACCCTAAACCCGAAGAAATGGGGGGCCAAAGCTCCAAATTGCTGTGACATGCAGAGCGAAGGGTGAACAGACCATGAGTGCGGCTCTATCTTCCCTCACTTGTCAAGAACTAGCTGGCTCCTTGATTTCTGAACGAAATAAACGAAACCCATGAACGACTCTTAAGGGGCCTTTAAGAATGTGATGATAATGTTGCATCATGAAACCTATTAATATGGTCCCTCTTGCCCTTTTGGGTTGTGTAGGGTACATAAGGGGCATATAAGATCCCTGCTCAGGGCCCATACTTCTTAGATTTAGGGTTTAGGGTTTATGGTTTAGGGTTTAGGGTTTAGTGTTTAGGGTTTAGGGTTTAGGGACCATGTCACGACCCTAAGACTCAACTCTCATCTGCAGGAAGTCAGCTACAGCTCGGCGATCAACGCTTGCAGCGATGCCTGGGAGGTGGCAGTGGAGCTGCTGAAGACCATGCACGAGGCTTAGGGTTTAGGGTTTAGGGTTTAGGGTTTAGGGTTTAGGGTTTGATTCAACAGCCCTAAGGGTCCATGTACCTCATTCTTCTATGCTTGGGCCCCAAAGTCCCTATATAGAAGGCCCAAGTATTCTCTATTTAGGTGCATGGACTCCTAGGGTTCTACGGGACACAGTTATGCTGCTCCATTCGGCGTAAAGAAGAGTTCGCAACGAGGACAAACTGTGGATGAACTCGAGTGCAGCAACCCTATGGAGTTAAACCCTAAACCCTAAACATGTATCAGTATCCCAGCGCCTGAATGTCCATGCTGAGTTTGTCCACTCATGCCCCATGGGTCGTCTGCAGTCTTAGGAAAGCCCCAAAGAGCCCTACACCCTAACCCTAATAAGGCCTTAATTCGGCCTTGCAAAAAGTCATCTGGATTCCTAAGAAATGTCAGCCCCAAAAAGCAGTGCTCCGTGGATGGTATTGCCCCAAATGATTGTGGATGAGATTGTCCCAAATGACTCATACTAAACTCCAAACCCTAAAGCAGTTAACAACTACAAGGAGGGCCCCCCCTAGCTATAAGTAAGTTATAAGGACCCTAAACTGGGTTATAAGGATCCTAACTTAGGTTATAAGTCAGTCCCTTAACTATAGTTAGTATAGTAAGGGGGCCCCTCCTTGTATAGAGAGTCCGGAGGATGCTTTGCTTCCCTACGTCGTGGCCTTCGGTGCCGCCATCAACGCCTGCGCCCGCGCGGGGCAGGGCGCAGCTGCGCGGGAGCTGCTGCAGGACCTGAGAAGCGCGGCGGCCTTAGGGTTTAGGTTTAGGGTTTGGATTCATGGGGTACCCTAAGGCTCCAAACAGCCCAAAGAAGGTCTTAATTACAGACTTTAAACCCCAATGTAGGTAGTACTTATATACTTGGAGCCTCAGGGTACATACATCGGTCGATCGTCAGATTGATTTTTTGAAGGAACATGGTGACGCATTGGCTTTCTCGTCTTAGCTTTTCGGGTTTTTTGGTGCCAGGTGGCCGGCCTGGAAGGAACTGGAGGGGGAACTGTAAGTCCTAGCCTCGGTTTCCTAAATCCCAAACCCGCAACCCCAAACCCTAACCCTAAACCCTATACCCCTATAACCCTATAACCCCATAACCCTATAACCCTATAAACCCTAAGTCCGGAGGAGATCGGGCAGAGGCGTCTGCAGGCCTTTGGGCTCCTTGCGGCTGGCGAGTTTCGAAGGGGCAGAAGATGGGTTTAGGGTTTTGGGTTTAGGGTTTTAGGGTTTAGGGTTTAGGGTTTTAGGGTTTAGGGTTTAGTTTCGAAGGGGCAGAAGATGGGTTTAGGGTTTAGGTTTTAGGGTTTAGGGTTTAGGATGGCCGAGAATCCGAGAAAGTTGCGGAATGGGATTGCAAACGAGCCCCTTTTTCTAGTCTAGCTTGCCCCTCATACAGCAAGGACTGTAAGATGCTGTTGCGAGGTCAACGAGATTGCCTTCAATTCCGCCATCTCCGCCTGCGAAAAGGCGGGGCGTTGCCGAAAAGCAAGCCCTAAAGCCCCAACAGCTCGAAAATCCCCAAACCCGAAACCCACACCCTCAAAACCACAACAACTCCGCCCTAAACCCTACACCCTCAACCCTGCACCCTCAACCCTCAACCCTAAACCCTAAACCCTAAACCCTAAACCCCTAAAACCTAAAACCTAAACCCTCAACCCTCAACCCTCAACCCTAAACCCTAAACCCTAAACCCTAAACCCTAAACCCTAAACCCTACCTAAACCCGGGCAGGCCGGGGACTGGGAAGAGGCGGCCGGTCTCCTCTGGCAGCCGCTGAGCTGCCTAGGGGTGCGGGGCTTGGTCTGGCTCTTCCTAAAGCAGCATTAGATATACTTAGGGTCTTGGGTTTAGGGTTTCAGGGTTTCAGGGTTTCAGGATTTAGGGTTTAGGGTATTTGGTGCTTTGTGGTGGCATATGTTGATATATATATATATATAGAGAGAGAGAGAGGGAGAGGGAGAGGGAGAGGTGCACTGTGCACGCTTCTGTCACAATGGAGGGCATGCCTGCACACATGGAATGCAGCCACTGGGAAATCGGGGGCGGTTCGGCCGGGTGCACAAGGCTCCGAATCTCTTCGGTCCCACAAGTTTAAAGGCAAAAAAGGGCGCAAAAGGCAAAATGCAAAAGATATTTCAAGCGAAGCGTAGAAAAAGCGACAATATCAGAAGGTCGCAAACCGGGGGGGAGTCTTGGGGCGCCCAGGATGTCTGAGCGCCGCATGTCGGCAGATGTTGTGAGCCACAACGCCGTCATCAGCGCGTTCGAGAAGGTGGTTGCCTGACAATTAGGCTGTGTTCGGGAGGGTTTAAGGTTTCGCCGCCAGTGCTGGTTAGAGGCAGCAACACCTTATTAGTAGTAGTAGAGTAGGTAACCTTGAACCCTTTTCGGGCACCCATCATCCCTATGTAATCCCAAAGGTCAACCTTTAGTTCCCCTAGGATACTGGACAACTAAGAAAGGGGCTTCGTGTTGTACGGCTCAGCTGGAACTTTTGGGGTTTAGGGTTTAGGGTTTAGGGTTTGGGGTTTGGGGTTTGGGGTTTGGGGGTTTGGGGTTTAGGGGTGCCGAACGAGTCGAAGTTACAACCGGAGGATCCTCCCAAGTCTAAAGCCCGAGGAGGAAGCGAAGTTGGGAGTGTTCAGTTGGAGCCTACCTAGCTAGAGAACCGTTTAGATTTAGGGTACAAAACCCAAAGCCTACCTTTTGCAGTTTACCCAAATGATCCTATATGAACCCAAAGCCTAATTTTCTTGGTAGGTTTCCAATGAATCCTACAAGGGGTGTTATAGTAAGAAAAAGTATGCATTGGGCTTTGAGGGTAGACTGGCAATTGTCGCCCCTACTTCGGCGTACTTGGCTTTGTGGCTGCAACACAACAGGGAAATTAGGCACCCGCCCTCCAAGAGAGGAAGTTACACTTTGGGGGGTCCAGGCAATCCCTAAACCCTAACCCCTAAACCCGAAGAAAGGCACGAAGCCATTTTGCAGGCAGGGCAGTGGGAGAGGGCCATCCAGCAGCTGCAGGTGATGTCCCACGAGCACCCTGGTTGCAGGGTTTAGGGTTTAGGGTTTAGGGTTTTGTTGGGTGAAGCATCGCAGAGTCGCAAGCTTCTGGGGGGTTCAGGGCATACCCTGGGGGGGGGGGGGCCCAAGCCCTAAACCCTAAACCCTAAACCCTAAACGCCGGGTGTCCCTGACTCTTGCAAGCTGCGGTTGGCCTCGGTCTATTCTGGCTCGTAAGCCGCACACGCGCACAGAAACCGCGATTGTCGCCATCGTGTCACGCCTGAATGCTGGAACGAGAACCCAAAGAGCCCAATATCCCTTAATTTAGGGAATCTTGCTTAGTTTATCTAGGGATCCCGAATATATGGTTTTTGGTATATTCCTTAATTAAGGGGTATTGCGCTCTTTGGGAACGCCTGCTCGGTTGAGAGGGCCCGGGCTTGGTTGAGCGCTTTCGGCACAAGTTAGAACGTAAGAGGACATATGGTGTGCCCACTACATCCTAAACCCTAAACCCTAAACCCTAAGCCCTAAACCCTAAACCCTAAACCCTAAACCCTAAGCCCTAAACCCTAAACCCTAAGCCCTAAGACAGGAAGGTGATCCCCGACACCATCTCTTACAATGCCCTGCTCCTTCGGCTGCAAAAAGAGCCCTGATCTCTCCAGTTCCTTCCAGATTTTCCTGAACCCAAAGGATCCATGTACCTTTAGGTGTTCTGGGTTTAGGGTTTAGGGTTTAGGCTTTGGGGTTATATAAGGATCCATGTACCTTTGGGTGTTATGGGTTTAGGGTTGATCCATGTACCAATTGTAATATACACTTGGGTGCCCTAAAGCTACTATATAGGAACCCCTTTAAGGCCCAAACATATACTATATGGGCAACATGGACCCTTAGGGATTAACCCATCCTGAAAGAAAGCGGCTGAGCCGTCGGAGTCTGGCGCCCTAAACCCTAAACCCTAAACCCTAAACCCTAAACCCTAAACCCTAAACCCTAAACCCTAAACCCATGTTTCCTTTCTGCGCCTGGTCCGACGACTCCAGCCAAGCTCAGACCCTCTGAGCGCCTGCAGGACTCGGGAAGTTTTCAGTGTGGTGTGAGACAACCTTAGTAGCTGAGTAGGCAACCTTTAACCTTTTGGGGTATATACATGTATATATATATATATATATATAGTTAACCCTACCAGGTTAACTTTTTTTGAGGGTACTCAGCAACCAAGTCGGCAACTCGCTCAGCAACCGGGGGCTTACTGTCCTTGCATGGGGGGTTTCACGGGATTCTTTAGAGGGATGCTGTGCTTCGGAGGGCTCTTGGGGGATGACCTGGGATGCGCTCCAAACCATGAACCCCCGATTCTGGCGGATTTAGGGTTTAGGGCTTAGGGGTTTAGGGTTTAGGGTTTTAGGGGTTTAGGGGTTTAGGGGTTTAGGGGTTTAGGGGTTTAGGGTTTAGGGGTTTAGGGGTTTAGGGGGTTTCGGGTTTATTATTCGGGCTTAGGCAACACAAAAAACGCCATTCGAAGATCGAAGGATCTCCGCCTGTGGCCGGGCCGGGCAGTGGGAGGTGGCGCTGGAGGTCTTGGCAAGAAGGCCGGGGGGGGGGGGGGGGGAGGGAGGGGTTTAGGGTTTAGGGTTTAGGGTTTAGGGTTTAGGGTTTAGGGTTAGTTGAGGCGAAGTGAAGTGTTTACCAAGCTTAGAGGTCTTAGGTGTTAGAGGCTTGCTATGGAGCGTAGAGATTCAACAGGCTCATTTGGTGGGCTTTCAGGGTGTCTAAGCGGCTGGGCCTAAGACAGCAAGAGCGCAAAATCTTTCTAAGGAAGGCCTCGGCGGTGTTTCTCCAACCTGTCCACATCTCCATCGGGCAACCAGAAGCTTCAAAACAAGGTCAGCTCAGAACCTGCCCCCCCCCCCCCCCCCCCCCCCAAACCCTAAACCCTAAACCCTAAACCCTAAACCCTAGTAAGCTGAAACCCGAGCTCAAGGCTTTGGGCTCGACGAGCTGATGCACCTTCGCCTCCACTTGTTGGGCTTTAGGGGGGGAGGGAGGGGGGAAGGCGCCATTGCGGATTTCGGGGGGGGCCTCCCTTTAGGGTTTAGGGTTCAGTATTTAGAGTTTAGGGTTTAGGATGGTTTAGGGTTTTGCCAGAAAATGTTCCGTTCACTGGCTCAGTTTATCGCGTCGTGTGGCCACGGATCATCCCCTAGCCCAACGTTCCCTGACTGAGGGACTGGGTAGGTAACCTTTGACCTTTTTGGGTTACAGAGAATCCCACTGGGTCGTTGTCAAAATTATGGTTCCTTTTTGGATCGCTATCATAATACGGCCCTAATATTTAGGTACCCCAAAAGGGATCATCACTTTGACAGCCACCCATATGTAAAAAGGTTAACCTTTCTGTTGGCTAGGGTGTTCAGCCCCTAAGCTGATGAGCCCCTTTTAAGGGAAGAGAAGCATACCCTTTCGTATTCCTAACTCAATCGTGGGGCTAGCTCATGGTGGCCCGAAACTTGGGATGTTCCCCCGAAAAACTGACAGTCCTTAATCGGGATTATAAACAGTCCTGTTACGGACTGTTAGTACAGGGGGGAACATCCCAACCCAAAACCCTAAACCCTACAAACCCCCACCCAAAACCCTAAACCCTCGCCCTAAACCCTAAACCTTGAACCCTAAACCCTTAACCCTACACACCCCCAACCTCAAACCCTAAACCCCAAACCCGTAAGGTGCATGGGGTCACCGCCGCGCTGAGTGCCCTGGGCCAGGCGAAGCTCTGGCCCAGAGTGCTGGCACTTCTGGAGGCTCCTGGTTTCAGGGTTTAGGGTTTAGAGTTTAGGGGGTCTAGGGTGTTGAGGGTTTAGAGGGTTCAGGGGGTTTATGGCAGTTTATGGGCTTTAGAGGGTTTAGGGGGTTTAATTTAGGGGTTTAGAGCGTTTAGCACTAAACCCTGAGTACACATTAGCACCCCTCAAAGAATCCGACGGAATCCCAGCTCACCAAACTCCTGAAGCCTCGCAGAGAGGGGAGAGGGTTGCCCCCGCGCCCCACAGAGCGAAAGAACGACATAAAGAACGACAGAGTGCAGCTTAGGGTTTATAGGGTTTAGGGTTTAGGAAGAAATAAGTTTTGAAAGACAGAACGAAAGAATTGCGTAAATCCAGAAAGAAATTTCTAAAGAACAAAAGCTACAGGGAAATACACAACAAAAACTGAATGCCTAGCTAGAGACGGGCTTGACGGCCGAGAAGCAAACTCTAGAAGCCAAAGTCATACCACCCCGCCACCCCCCCCCGACCACCCCCTCTAAACCCTAAACCCTAAACCCTAAACCCTCCCCAAACATCCTGAGGACATTGACTCTGTGTCCCTTCGGCCGACTTCTGCAGTTTGCAACGCCGCAATTGGGGCCTGCGATGCGGCGGGGCAATGGCAGAGGGCGACGCCGGGACGATTCAGATGGCCCTCAACCTTGGGGGACCCAATGAACCCAAAAGTAACCCTAAACCTTAACCCTCAAACCCTACACCCTAAACCCTAAACCCCAAACCCTCAGATGCAAACATAGGCGTTTTTTGGGGTCTAACTTGGGGTTCATTGGTCCCCAGGAGGCCCGCAACTCTCCCAAGGCGTAAATCCCAAACTCATCTTTCTCTGTTGGCTGTAAAAACGCAGTGCTTCGGGTTGACAGGGAAGGCCTCCCCCTTCCCCCCTTCCCCCCTTCCCCCCTTTCCCCCCCCCTCCCCCCCGCTGTAATTCGACTCTAACCCTTTACGCCTTTACGCCGAACCCCAAACCCTAAACCCCAAACCGCCCCCCCCCCCCCCCCCCCCCCGCCCCCCCCCGCCCCCCCCCCCCCCCCCCACCCCCCCCCCCCCCTCCCCCCCCCCCCTTCCGCCCCCCATCCCCCCCCCCTCCCCCCCCCCCCCCCCCCCCCCTCCCCCCCCCCCGCCCCCCCCCCCCCCCCCCCCCCCCCCCCCCGCCCCCCCCCCAAAAAAAGGGGGATGGCCTGCTGTGTCCCTCTTTGAGGCTGCTGCTGCTGGGCTCCATGCCGAGGCCTTATGTTATAGTCTATTTTATTCTATCATGTATGTCTTTTACTTATGTTGTTATCCATTGTTTTGATTATTGTGATTATTACTAGATTTTCATTTTGCTTAAAATAGTATATTTATGAGCATGTATATGTTTATTAACATGTTTATCTTTTTATGATTTTTATGATTACTACTAGTCTTTTTTATTCCACTAGTATGTTGTATTATATCATGTATATGTTTACTTCCATTTTTTGTATCTCAGTGTTGTTGTGATTATTTCTACTTAAAACAGTATTTTTCCTGATGTATATATATATATATGTATGTGCATTTATCATTCGTGTTATACATAGAGGCATGGAGCCACTTTGGTGCTTTCTGGGCCGACCCTTTGCTAGGTGATTTGGGCTCAACTGAATACGGGTTTTCGCAAGAAGGCCTCAAGGAAGCCTCCGTACTGCATGTTGTGTATCTACTATCATATACATCTTGCCTTAAGATACATATATGTATGTATGTATGTATGTATGTATGTATGTATATGTATGCATGCATGCATGCATGCATGTGTATATATATATACGGCGCACCAGGCACAATATCCAAGCCGATCGCATCAGCCGTGTCACAGCGATCAGCGCTTGTGGTCAGGCCTGGCGTACGTATTCAGAGCTTTCCCTGGGGCCGAGACACAGTGCAATTACATGAGTAGGCACAATCTGTCTCGCTACACCACCACAAAGACGAGCGTGCCAAACGTGCGCATGAACCCAGGAACTTACACTGCAGACGTATGGCGTGCTCACCTTGATCGCCCTCCGAAAGGTCTGGGTCTAGGTGGCCAACCAACCCAGCCCCAAACAAGAGTACCAGGCATGCGGCAGGACCCATGACACATGTTATTTCGGTTCAAGCCTTTGCATGCCATCGCATTTCAATCGCCCAACTCCCTGATCCGGAAGTCTGAAACACTCCACGGATCTGCAACGGAAGTCTTTCGCTGCAAGTGTATCCGTGAAATGTCTTGCACAGGCCTCAAAGTGGCAGCTCGGCTGATCGTGTAGTTTGTGCAGATAGGATTTTGGGTGCGCAAGGGAGTCTTGTTTACCCCTGTTTTGAGCTATTTTGGTCGCCAAAAGGCAAGTTTAGGGCGGGGGGGGGGGGATATTCATGTTCTGCAGCTTGCGGCTAAAGTGCTACAGCAGCCCCGACTTGGCAGTCCTTGCTGATATCCCCCCCCCTGAAGCGTCTTTTGATTGGACATGTACCTTCATTATGGGGTGTACCTACTGTTAACTCGTAGGGACTAAGCCCTAAGTTCCAAAGGCGTGCACAGTTGTTCGGATCTCAGAGACACACGCAGAGTAAGCCCTGAACCCTGTAAGCCCTGCACCAATAGGGGATCCGAAGTATGGGTCCTCAATTTGGGTCCCCTGCTTTCTAAACCTTGTATACACTATACAGAATAAGGGCCCACACATCGGATCCCTGTAAATCAAGGGTAAGGAACCATACTAAGGGCCCATGGTTCCAACCTTACAACCAAATGTCTAAACGACCCAAACCCCTAAAGCTCAACCCTAAGTGTGCATTAGCTTCCAAAGCTCAACCCGGAACCCAGAACCCTAAACCCTAACCCTAAACCCTAAACCCTAAACCCTAAACCCTAAGCAGAGGCAGCTTGCCCTCTCACTGTACAGCTCGGCAGACGGCCCCTCGGGCGTGGCGGCGGCCGCCTCTGCCTGCGGGTGGGTTGAGGGCTTAGAGGGCTTAGGGTTTAGGATTTAGGGTTTAGGGTTTAGGTTTGAGGGTTGAGAGTTAGAGGGCTTGGGCCCCCAAGAGTGCATGTGCCTATATAGTCCGTATACCTGAAGCCTTTAGCGACTATGTCTCAGTCATAGTTGGGTACCATTTTACATGTTCAAGGGTACTTAAACCCACTAAGGAACAACAATGTGAATTTTTTATATTACGCCAACCATGAACCAGATACAAGAACCCCTTGGAAGGCCCAAGTATATAGCATATTGGTGGTGCGGACCCTTGGGAGGTCAGAAAAATGGCTCAGAGTTGAGGGCGCTTTGCTTTTGGTCCTTCGGGGCCTTCCCCTAAGGCCCCAGACAGCCCAAAGTAGGCAGCAGGCATTATTTACGGACTTTAGACCCCGTTGTAGGTACTCTTTGCAAACTTGGACCTAGGGTTCAGGTGGTAACAGTGGAAGCTCCCGGGTTGGTACTAGTTACAGAGTTACATGCAGGGCCTCATGAGAGTGAAGGGCAGAAGCGTTTGTTGATGGGGCTTTCTCCGCAAACAAAAGCGACGCCAGGTGAAGCTCAACAACCTGGTCTTTTAATTTGTGTTGGGAATAAGGTACCATATTCTTCATTTCTTTCTTTAAAGGGATGGATGGTATCCTGTAGGGATTCGCTACCGAGGACCGGTAAGTAAACCCTAAACCTACGTAAGCCGAAAGCAACAGGAATGCCAGCCAATGGGCCAGAGCCCTCGTCATGATCGACAGTCTTCCAAGAGCCTCCTTGGACGAGGTCAGCTATGGGGTAGCCACCTGGCATCGCTCTGGCCGAGGTCAGTGTGTTTAACATAGGTTTTTTTTTGTTTTTTTCGGGGGGGAGGGGGGGGGGGGGGGTTCTTAAGCAAAAATAGTTTGTTTGGAGTGGCAATTGCTGGGCTCTTCATCTGCCAGCTCTGCCAACTATAACCAGCAGCATCAATTGCCACCCTCTGGTTTTCCCAATCCCTTCCGTGCTTCTAACAGAAATTGATCAAGATGCCCGTGTTCACTCACCAGGCCCCCAGATTTATATCGGTTAGCCGTCAAACGTGCCACCGTGAGATATGGAAGCATCTCAGTGGCACAGATCGTTCGCGTACCTAAGCTGTAAACCCTAAACCCCACACTGGCAAACTGTCAGCACCCAAGATCTCATCTTCTCGTGAAGCAAACTGTAAGCTCTTCAAATCCCTAAATGCACCCCTTAAAACGCCTGGACACTAAACAACGCTGACCCTCAAAATCCTCCACCCTGAGCCCTAGTATACCTGAACACTACCCACTAACTAAACCTGTGCCACGAATATGCCCTTCAACCTTAAATAGATCTAAACTCTAAACCTCTATAAATTGGGCCCAAAAATAAGTCTAAGCCCAAAACCCAATACATAAGACCGAAACATACCTGAATCTCACCCCCCCCCCCCAAAGAAAAAAGCAACATACATACATTCATACATACATACATGCATACATGCATGCACGCATACGTGCCTACATGCATATAATATAAATAAATAACAAATAAATGAACAAGCAAATGAATAAATAAACATATATATATATATACAAAATGGCAATAGTCAAGAACAAAAGTAAAATCAAACCATGAAAAAAAGCCATGACAGCACTGAGGCGATCCGGGCCTGCCAGGAGCCGCGCAAGTGGCAGCTGGCGGTCCACCTCCTGGAAGAGATGTGCAGTCAGGCTCCCTGTGTTGTAGGGGGCTTTTTTACGGCTGGTTAGGATTTAGGGGGCCGACCTTCTTCCTTGAGATTTAGGGTTTTCGGGCTTTGGGTATGTTGGGTCGCGTTGAGATTTAGGGTTTTTGGGTTTTGGGTATGGTGGGTCGCATTTTGTACTACATTCATGTGGGTGCTCCCACTGCGTATGCACGCCTCTGGCACATCGGCGGAGGGGGGAAGTTGTCAGGCTGACACGGCTGTCCCATGTTGTTCAAAATCGCTAGAAGCTTTTGGACTGAAATTCTCAATGCTCGACAAGGCGGGTTTGGCTTGAGCAGAAACATCAATTGAAGTGGTGATTTGCCTGCACCATGGCTCTTTGACCTTCGTGACAGCATGTGGAACTTGAGCATGTAGAAGTCTCCAAAGGAAGCTGTCCCTCTCTCCCTAAACCCTAATCCCTAAACCCTAAACCATTCCCCTGCAGAGTGTCCGAGAGGTCAGCTAAGCGGGTGGCAAAAAAAACCCTAAACCCTAAGTTTGCTTACGTGTCAAAGCAGCTTCCTTTGCCAGGCCCTCCGCGCCAATGCAATTTGCATCAGCCAGGAGCTTACAAAGCCTCAGCGCTGGAAAGCGACAACACTGATCCCGGTGCTATGCGCACTTTAAAGTACACGCCCTGGCAATATTATGTATAATTTGAAAAGATTAAGGAGCTTGGGCCGAAAGACAAAAGTCGACAAGAGACATGGTGGCTTTAGGCTGATGCCATTGAAGCATGAGCTGCAGATCCGGGAGGGGTTTGGTTGCAGAAATTACACCTACCCAGAAAATCCCCCCCCCCCCCCTTCCCCATCATCAAACCCTCAACCATCTTCTATCTATGAAGTCCACAAGCCACCCAGGAAACGTGCTGCCTGCAGATTCTATCTATGGGGTCGGGAAACCACCCAGGCTTCGAACAATTATACCACCCCCTCCCCCGAAATCGAATTCTATCTACTCCAGGATGCCTATATCATAAGATAAGAATTTTAAGCAAAATCTCATCATTTCACATGTAATCGTACAATCGCTGTATAAGAAGACAGCAATTTAGCAACTTAATACTTTAATATACGAACATATCAGAGCCACGGGGCAATCCGCTGAGGTGCGGCGGTGGTTGCCGCCAAGGATGCCTGGCACCGAAGACTAAACACGAATCCTAAGAGGGTTAGGGTTTAGGGTTTAGGGTTTAGGGTAGGCGAGGATTCCCGCAAGCCTGCTGCAAAAGGGTTTAGGGTTTAGGGTTAGGGTTTAGAGAAGGCGAAAGTAGTACTTTTGCCTCAGTGTGGGGGCCCTTGAACTATCTCATAACTGGGCGGGGGGGGGGGGGGGGGGGCTGGGTCCTCCCTCCCCGTGTAGCGATCAGGCCGTGCAGCGTGTACGAAACCAATGCCAGGGTTCATTTTTCCCCCAAGGAAGTGGGTCCTTATATGAGCCGTCCATGGCAGTTGTTTTGTTTTCCCTTTCCTCCCGTCCCCGACCTAAATAGGTAGCTGACAGGGAGTTTCTCATTTGTACTTAGATGTTCATCGGATTTTGGACAAGCGGGTTTTTCAAATTTGGAACAATCGGGCCCTCGGTTTTTCAGAACTTGAACCATCGATCAGGGTTTGGGTGTTGTTATTATGTGTTGTGTCGCGTAACGAGAAGATAAAAACCCTTGTACGTTGACTGGTGAATGCTTGGACTTGAGATGCTGAACCCTAAACCCTAAGCCCCATTGAAACCATAAACCCTAGACCCTAAACCCCAAACCCTAAACCCTGAACCCTAAACCCCAAACCCTAAACGCAAAACCTCTGAGGAAGCTTGGCCAGCCGCACTGGCACTGCTCCGTCTGGCGCCCAGCGAAGCAGGCGCTGGCGGGCAGCAGAAAGGGATGCTCTGGAACCCGAAACTCCAAAAAGGGGGGGGGGGGGGGGGGGAGGGGCGGGGGGGACGGAGGGGGGGAGTTGGGGGGTGATTGTAGTTTTGGAAATTCCGCGCTGACAGTAAGGGGATGTAGGAAACCAACGACCTCCATCATGCAGTCCTTTCCTCGAGAAGCCCGCGAACCGGTAACATTGAACGTGGGTTGAGGGTTTTAGGGATTGAGGGTTTTCCGTTTCAAAATGATTTTAGGGAAGCCCCACCCATCTTGCATGTTTCATAGGGCGTCCTGATCCAATCATGCCTAGTTTCGTGTCCTTGGAAAGTTTGTGATCTTGTGTGTCATTGCAAAGAGCCGGCCAGATTGTCCGAGGGCAGTTCCACCAACAACGTGGGTTTAGGGTTTGGTTTAGGGGTTGTATGAGGGCATTGACTTGTTCTTCGGTCTTATTGGTTGATGTCCATTGGGGCCCCTTTATTCTCACAGGGAAGCTACGGCAAAACGTAACCCGAATAGCATAGCTAATCCTAAACCGGCAAAGTCGTGGAGCAGTTTAGGGTTTAGGGTTTAGGGTTTAGGGTTTAGGGTTTAGTGCTAGACGGGCGGCAACAAATCACGTCAAAGTGCTGCACAGGCTATGGCGCAGCTGTCCGCGCGTGCCAAGAAGCTGGAGAGTGGGAGCCGTGCTTAGCTGACCGCGACACATGGGTGGCTATGTTGGTGACTAAAACCAAAACATGCGTTTAGGGTCCGGTGCATAAATACAAAGTAGCGCAGCTCCCACATATTTGTTTTGATCCTGAGTGGGAGCGCTCGCACTTGCAAAGTTGGCTTGGCTCTGCTGCTTGCAGCTGGCAGTGGGGTCTTAGCTGAATCTTGCTTAGTGTGTGTGTGTGTGTGTGTGTGTGTGTTTTGGTTTTGCGTGTTGGTTGGTGTGCTGGCTGGTGTGTCGGTTGGTGTGTTGGTTGGCGGGTGGGTGGGTGGGTGGGTGGGTGGACTGGTTCTATGGTGGTGAGATTTGCCAGTGGGAGAGACAATAAACCCTAAAGTTGTGGACATATGCCCGATACTACTTTAATTCCGACTGAGGTATGTGAACCATGAACAACCATTTTAAGGTTCATTTGGTCCCCGGTCATTTCGTCCCTCAGTAGAGGCTTAGGGTCCGTCATTGCTGAGGCGGCTGCGCTCGCGCTGCTGACGGAGTGTCGGCGAAGCATCAACCAGGTCCTTCGCCGCCAACGAAGAACACCACATGTTTGCTGGTCGAGTTGCGAGGTTGTTCACAGATGATGCTGAGGGTCGTTCGTGGTATGCAATAGCAGAACCCAAGAGACTGCAGCACTGAACACTGGCCCCTCCTTCTCAACACATGCACGTTCACATGCCAGCAGAGGGCGACCGAACAGTTTAGCGTGCACAGGACAACCTCGCAGTCACGACGCTCACGTTGTCGGCATGTGCGCAAGTCCGCCAGTGGCAACAGGCCGCTGGGCGTGATTTCCAGGTCTTTGGCACGGGACTAGTGACGACGTAGAAGTTTTCGGAGTCCGTAGAGCCCAATTGTTCAAGACGAATGCAATTGGAGATGGAGTATAGCGGACAGATTCTCTGCAAGCAAAATGCAGGAAGCTGTAATGTTGCGTCTATTTCTGCTCGAACTCCAATGTGTGCTGCTCGAGTGCTATGATGGTGTCAATCTGGAGAAGCTTGTTGTGGGAGATCATTCTTCAGTTGGTTCCGCAGCCTCTTCTAGTTCATCGCTGCTCCCAGAGTCTCAGCGTGCGCTTAGAAGTTACGCGCGTGGAAACTGATAGTTGATGTTTCTGTAGCATTGATTTTTTCACTAGTCTCGTCGATCACAACGTTCAAGAACATCTCGTAGCCTTGCAGCCTGCCACTGCTGAAATGCCTCCTTCAGGGTGTATGTAGAGTTTACGGTTTCAGGTTTAGACGTAGAGGATGGGCCTGGAGCCATGACATGGGTGACGATGACATCACATTTTCGGTCTTGGGGTGGCATGACCTATATCCCGAAGGATCCATGTACCTACATGGTATATACTTGGGCTTTAAAGGGGTTCCTATATAGTAGCTTTAGGGCCCAAGTATATACTATATAGGTACATGGATCCTTTGCGTATATACCTTTTACAGTCAGAGAAGTGTACAGAGAGATCCAATGGAGAGGCGTCGGTAGTCGTTGGCTGCAAGCGGCTCAGTGGTTGTGTTTGCCCCGACTTTTCCGGCCAGCGTAGCTCAGCCCGGATGCAAACATGTGTTGAAACTTTAAGTTGGGATGTTCACCCTTACACCTCGGGGAACATCCCAACTATGCGCTCTGTAGTTCTTACGCCTCGTAGCATCATGGAGGTATTGAATGTAGACGCGCAGACTTCAGCACGAAGACTTAATGCTGGCCAAAGACCCGAGGGTTCATCAGTCTCTGGCACCCAAAATTTGAACAGCGAATGCCATGGAGGTGCTCTCCCTTGCAGAGTTGCTTTGTGCAGATGCTGTCCCTTGCTAGCATCGAGCATCCTCGGCGTGAGGTATGAGAGAGAGGTAACGTGTTTTTTGCCGCAGTTGCTTGGCTGACTGCGCCATGCTACATTGGGCGGGAGGGGGAAGGGCGAGGGACGAGCCCTGCAGAGAAAAGTAGAATTAGAAAGGTCTTGAAAGATGGTAAGAACCGTGCCATTCAGTATCCTTTGCTCTGGGTTCTCAGGGGTTTTCAGGGTTAATTAGAGGCTTGGGCTTAGAATCTTTAAATGGCCACTTCTCCAAATTATGGTCCCTTTAGGGTACGCTAAACAACCATGACCGCCTCATACTAGGGATTCGAGAAGTGACCATATACTTAGCAGCTGCATGAGTACACTTTACACTTTTTGGGATACTAGAATCCCCTATAGAACTGAAAGTGTACATTTTTCCCCACCCTCTCGGTGTGGGGTTGTTAGATTTTAATCTCAACTCTTCTCCTCGCCCGGAGCTCTTCTCCTCGCCCGGTCTACTCCTCGCTCATCCCTGAGTCTCCCTAGAGTGCCCAACCCCAGAGCCTGGAGTGCCCAACCCCAGAGTGTCCCCGAAGTGCCCATCCCCAGAGTCTCCCTGGAGTGCCCAACCCCAGAGTCTTCCTGCAATCCCTAAACCCTAAACCCTAAACCCCTAAACCCTAAACCCTCCCAACCCCAGAGTGTCCAAACCTACACTGCCCAACCCCAGATGTTCCTGGAGTGCCCAGCCCCAGAAGCCTCCTGCAGTGCCCAACTGCAGAGTCTGCCTGGAGTGCCCAGAGTGTCCGCGGGGAGCCTGGAGTGTCCCTGGAGTGTCCAACCCCACAGTATCTCTACCAAGAGAGGGTGGGGATGTTCGAAGTAAGATAATTTTGGGCTTATGGTCTCAGCAACTAAGTATTAAACAGTTTTCCTGCTGTTCGCATTCCTCGCGCTTCAGGCGGAGTGCGAGGCTTCGGAGCTGGGCCCTGCGCTGTCCGTCGCGCTGGCGGAATGCGAAGTCAGGCAGCATTGCGCTCGGGTGTGGTAACTTTGGTGTGGTAACTTTCGGCTTCAGTGACGATACTAGTGATAGTGAAGGCAGATAAAGGTCGTCTTAGGAGTACTATTTGTATGTATGTTTTCCAATATCTGTGTTGTTCTGAATATCAATATATCGGTGAAATGTAGGGGGGACCCTAGGAATGATCATCTAATGGGGGAAGTAGTAGTGATATATCGGTGAAGTGTAGGGGGGGAGTATAGGAATGATCATCTAATGGGTTGACGGTGGCATTATTACCCAAAAGGGGCGAAGGGGTCTCTGACTAAACCCTAAACCCTAAACCCTAAACCCTGGGCAAAAAAAGAAGCCTCGAAGGTCCTTGACCTTCGTCGAGCGCCGGCTCCTCCGACACCTGGGCCGTCGGGACTTGGACACCGCTGCTTCAGAGCTACCTGCCGGGCATGTTAAAGGTTGGCCTTTGGGACATTGTCATATTTTCCCTTATTTAGGTTTATAAGGGGCCCAATATATATATATATATACACACAGTTTTCAAAGGGTTTAAAGGCCAACCCACCCAGAAATCTTAAGGTGCAGTTCAGGGCTGGACCTTGGGACCTTCTTAGGCCTTTGTGCCACAGGTCTATGCTGGAGCCCTCAACGACTTTCGGGCTTTCAAGGGTTTTAGGAGGTGCGTGGATCCTTTTTGGTAGCTTGCGGTGCCTGTCTGCTACTTGTCCCACCAGACATTGTCTGGCGGGGTTCTGGCTCGGGGCATCTCACCGAATCCCGGAATCCTGAAACCCCTATTGACCCTAAACGTCGAAACCCTGAATCCTAAAATTCTCTAGATTAAGCCCCTAAACCCCTACACCCTAAGCCCCTACACCCTAGAAAGCCTAAACCCTCATCGCTGAGCGACTCACAGGCTGCTGCGATTGTCGGGTGCTTGGCGGCGGGCGTCTCGACTGACTCCACTGCAGGGGCGTGGTGACGGTTTAGGGTTTAGGGTTTAGGGTTTAGGGTTTAGGGTTTAGGGTTTAGGGTTTAGGGTTTAGGGTTTAGGGTGGTGTTGGGGGCACTTAGGGAAGTTTAGAGCTCAAAATATCAGGAAATTTGAGGCTTGGAGTCCTTCAAGCTGTCGGTAGACTCCTAACCCAACACCCCAAATGTTGCTGTTCCCTGCAATGTAGTTGCTGAGAGGATCCCCTTAAACCCTAAACCCTAAACCCTAAACCGATGGATCCGGTTCAGCTCCCGAGGATCGATTTCCCCTGGCTGCCGCCAGGGCGGCATTGCAGGCGCCAGCCGCGGCGGCATCGGCGAGGAGCCAACGGGAAGATTCCAGACACGAGGGTTGAGGGTTTAGGGTTTAGGGCAGTTTTAGGGTTTAGGGTTAAGGCTGATTCTGATACAGTTTAAGGTTCTGGGCTTCTTTGGGTCGGGGGGATCAGAGCACATTTGCGGCTTAGGGTCTAGGATTTGGCAGCTGGCAAACTCCGCGATGCTATATGACGGCCGTTCGACTTTCCCACTTGTGCTGCCAGACACATGCGCCAAACCTCCAGACCCTGCTTCTTGAGGAGCTACCATCGGGAAGTAGGGCTCCTTCGCAAAGTCTTTGACGAGGCGCGGGCGTCCAACCTTCGAACGTTCGAAAAGCCCTATTTGGGTGCTGAGTACTTAACCTTCAACTAGGGGGCTGGGTACTGCAGGCCCCGAAAGCCTAAGATTAACCTAGGGAAATGTTAGGATTCTGAGCTATTTTAACCCGAAACTCCAATCGCCTATTTAAAAAAACCCTGTTTTAAAACCCTGTAAACACCCTGCAACAACCCTATAGGCCCAAGGGCCCCCTCAAGGCCTATCCCAGTGTTATCCCAGCATTTCTAGGGCTTCGGGGTCTTCGGGTGTAGCCTGTGTGAGAGGAACCGTAACCGACTTCGAGTCCCCAAGTCCAAGCGCCCTCAACCCTAAACCCTAAACCCTGAACCCTGAACCCTGAACCCTAAACCCTAAACCCTAGACCCTAAACCCTAAACCCTAAACCCTAAGTCCAAGCGCTTTCCCCGAAGTCTCTCTAGGCTCAGCCTGGCGATGTGGAGGCCATCGTGCAGACCCTGGACCACTTCGGTGAGGACCTTTTTGGGGGGCAAAGGAACCCTAAAACCGGGGTTTAGGTGTTTTTTTTTTTTTTTTTTGGGGGGGGGGGGGGGTTGGGGTTTAGGGTTAAGGGTTTAGGGATTTAGGGGTTTAGGGGGATTTTTGCTTACGTAAAATTAACCCAAGAGGATATTCAAAATCATATGTTTATTAGCGTTCTAAGGGGAGTATAGTTTGGGGCGGCCAAAGGAACCAAACGGGGGTTCAGGGATTCAGGGGCTTTGGGGTTTTGGGGGTTTTGGGGTTTCGGGTTTAGGGATTTAGGGGTTTAGGGACTTAGGGGGGCAAGGGTTTCGGGATGGCCCACCGCCCCTGTTGGCAGCCGTCGTTTCCACATGTACATGGGGGTTTCCGAAGCTAGGGCTACCTCATTGGGGTCCTTATTATATGGGGATCCTACTATTGGGGGTCTAAAGGGTTCCGTTTGTTCGTAATTTCCTCACCAGCTTAAAAGAGACCCCCTACACACCCCTAACCTCCTAGCCCTGTAGGTTTAGGGCTCAGGGTTTAGGGTTTAGGGATAAACCCCAAGAACCCTAAACCCCAACCCCTAACCCCTAACCCCTAACCCCTAAACCCTAAACCCTAAACCCTAAACCCTAACCCCTAACCCCTAACCCCTAACCCCTAAACCCTAAACCCTATTGAATCGCAGGACCTGGAGTGGGCGAAATTCGCCGGGAAAAGCAAGGGCAAGGCCATCGTGGCGGCCCTCTGATGCTGGGACTTCCTTTGGCTTCGTAGTAGAGTAGGTGGGGTTTGGGGTTTAGGGTTTAGGGTTTAGGGTTTAGGTTTAGGGTTTAGGGTTTAGGGTTTAGGGTTTAGGGTACCTTTTTGGGGTATGATAATCCCCAAGGTTAACCTTTGGCTTTCTAGGCCACTGGACAACAAAGTTGGTGAATTCCTCCCTCTTATCCTTCCAGGGACCTGAGTCGTTGGGGTCCTTCGGGGCTCTAGTACCCCAAGCATTTGGTTCCTGGAAGGATAGGTTTGGTGATCCCTATAGAACCCCTCAACTTTAGCCGAGAATAGACCCTCATATAGTAGGATTCCCTTGGAATAAGCACCCCAAAAGGGTACCCCGACTCTCGGAAAACCCCCTAAACCCTAAACCCTAAACCCTAAACAACCCTGGCCTGGGTCCCCATGCGGCTGTTGTCTCTCAGAGTGCGCCTCTCTCTTTTGATTCATGTTCCCCAGAGGTGGCGCCGCACCATCAAAAGCCGCATCGAGCCCCAGGCAGCAGTTGGGCTTCGGGTTGAGGGTTTAGGGTTTAGGGTTTAGGGTTTACACCTTCGGGTTGCAAGCTGACTTGCAGTTGGGCTTTGGGGTGAGGGTTTAGGGTTTAGGGTTTACAGTAGGGTTTAGGGTTTAGGGTTTAGGGTCTAGGGTTTTATCACCGTTTGCAAGCTGACTTGGCTTTGGCTTAAGGCTCTGGGTCTTGGAGTACTGTACTTGAATACTTTTTTTGGTTCTGGGTTCCTATTATAGCTACTTCTGCCTAGAATGTATATACCTTTTTTTCCAGGGTCTACTCCAAAGCTAAGGGCTGCGTGACTTCCTTGCAAGCCACTGGCTTCGTCCTGGTTGAGTCACTACAGACCATCGATTTAACAAAAAGGGTTCGGCTTTGCTTTCATCACACGGTTGGGGGAGCTTTAAACCCTAAACCCTAAACCCTAAACCCCAAACCCGAACAGGAATCTGGGCATCCTCGAGATCGGCACCTACTGTGGCAACTCCGCGCTGCGCCTGGCCGCGGCCCTGCCCGGCGTCCCGCTCACGTCTTTGGAGCGCCGTTTAGGGTTTCGGGTTTAGTTTAGGGTTTAGGGTTTAGGGGTTTTAAGGGTTTTTTTCAAGGGTTGTTAAAGGGTTTAGAAGGGTTTTTTAAGAAGGGGTTATATGGGTTTATAAGGGTTGGTAAACCCCCTACACCCCCAAACCCCCCAAACCCCCTAAACCCCCTAAACCCCCTAATCGCCCTAAACCCCCTAAACACCCTAAACCCCCTAAACCCCTTAAACCCTAAACCCCCACCGGCGGCATCTGCACCGGAGGAGCTCGATCCTGTCTGTGTTGCCGTGGCCAGGCCTCGCTGACGTTTTTCTTTTTTGGCTGGTTGTCAAAATTATTGTCCCTTTGGGGTACCCTAGAAGCTAGGTGCCACACTATAACAGGGATCCATAAACGGGACCATGATTTTTCCAACCCATGTGATGGATGCGACACCCCATAAACGCCCAGAAAGGCCCTAAAAGCCCTATAAACCCTGTAAACCCGAAAAAACCCATAAACCCCGTAAACCCTAAAAAACCCTATAAACCCTGCAAAGCGTGAAGGAGCGCAAGGCACAGAGAACAGCAACGGTTTACCTGACAAACGCCCATTTGCAGGCTACTCAAGGAAAGCCCGAAAACCCCTACAAAACCCCAAAAACCCTTTAAAAAGCCCCTAGACCTATAGACCCTACAAACCCTGTAAACCCTATAAACCCCCATCCTAAACCCTAAGCCCTAAGCCCTAAACCCTAAACCCTAAACCCTAGACCCTAAACCCTAAACCCTAAACCCTAAACCCTAAACCCTAAACCCTCCCCCTCCGAAGTAGGTGCCTCCTTGGCTTTGCGGGGCTGAGCGCCCGAGCTCCCCGGGCAGAGAGTGGAGGCTATAGAGGGAAGCTCCCCTAGGTGTATGGTTCAGGGTTTGGGGTTTAGGGTTTGGGGTTTAGGGTTTAGGGTTTGGGGTTTAGGGTTTTAGGGTTTAGGTTTTTAGGGTTGCAGGGCTTAGGGTTAAGTAGAAGTCCGGCTGCAGAAAGGGTTCGGTAGAGAGGCGCTCCTTGCAAAGGGTTCAGTCGAGTTTTGTGTGGAGGTTTGGAGGGTTTCGGCCTAGGGGTTTAGGGTTGATGTGTCTTTTTTTGAATTTGCTGGCCCGATATATTTCTGGCCATATAATCTCTTTACAACACCATGTAGCCCGCCGATTTATGGGGGGCGCAGATTCGCAAATCGCGGGCCTGATCTTTGCGTTACAAAAGTTAAATGAGCATGAATATAAATAGAAGTATGACTCAGGCTACCATTATTCTGGTCATCATAAATTTGTAATCGTTTGTAAGTCACCCAGCCGAAGTTAGTATAGAAAGTGCGGCTGCGGCTTCGTGGGTTTGAGGGCGTCTGAGGGCTTATCGGCATACGGGTCGGGTTAGGGCGAGCGGTTTGGGCTGTAAGGACTTTCTAAGGGTAGCTATATGGTCCCTTACCTTCTGTAAAGGGTTCTGAAGTATGGTCCCTTGAGTTTTGCTGAAGGAGTTGTTATACGCTAGAGTCCTACTAGATACTAGAATCCCGTTTGATCGATGTCTTGTTTGGGTTTCACTGAAGGGGTATATAAAGGGGTGCCCATTGAAGGGTCCATACTAAGGGGCCATGTAGCTACTCATAGCGACTTGGGGAGGGGGCAGGGGCCTTGGGGCATGGTGCACAAGTTTGGTTTAGGGTTTAGGGTTTGGGGTTTAGGGTTTAGGTTTTAGGGTTTAGGGTTTAGGGTTTAAATTTAGGGGGATCGTGCGCTCCTGCTCGCAGGGCGGCCCCGAGGCTAGGTAAAATGACAGGCTGAATTCTAGGGCCGTGGGTATAGGCTGTGGCTTCTATAATCCCTGAGCAAAAGTTCGCGTGGTATTAAAGGGGGCCCTTATGGGCCCTTAACCCTGAGAATCCCTCAAAGCCCTAAACAAATGGGGGGTTAAAGAAAATTAGGGGTGCCTTATTGGGGTCCTAATTCTGAGGGAATCCTAGTACTTGGGGGTCCACATGGGCATCTCCGAAAGTCGGTGTACTCCTTTTATACCCCAAATGGAATAGCATCCCCGTAAAGGGATCCCCAATCCCCAACAATGGGTACCCCTATTTTCCGTAACCCCCATATTGGGGTCCCATACTTTCGTAAACCCGCATATATCACTACATAAACCCTAAGCCCCTAAAACCCTAAACCCTAAACCCTAAACCCTAACATCCAGCCCACGAGGTTCAGGTGTGGACCGGCCACAGTCGCCTGCTCCTTCCGACCTTGAAATCGCGGCTGCAGCCGGCAGGGGATTCGGAGCAGCCAGGCGACTATTTGATGATTTTAGGGTTTAGGGTTTAGGGTTTAGGGTTTGATGATTTTAGGGTTTAGGGTATAGGGTTGCTGGCTACTGGCTAGCCTTTCAGTGAAGTGGCAAGAAAGGGTTGAGGGCTTAGGGTTTTTAAAGTTTAGGGTGTAGACGGTTCTTCGCACTCAGGAGTCAGGGAAGTCGCTACCCTACGCCCTGCATTGTTATAGTTCCTGGTCCCTTGAGAGGTACCCCAGGTTCGGTTCCTAAGACCAACATTCCCGCACAGGAGCCCGTCGGCAAGAAGGGTTCCTGATGCACGCAGGGAAGGGTACCCATGCCAAACTAGCTATACACTAAACCCCTAAGTTAAAAGCCTCGTAGCTAGGGTGTTGCGGAAAGTTGCCTGCACTTGTAGATGGAATGACCCAGACAAGGATGGCTGCGTTTCAAGGGCTTAGGGTTGTTTAGGGTAAGTTTAGGGCGCTCAGTCTAAAACCTAGGTGTTGTTGTTCCAGGGCACAGCTGAGGATCGCGGCAACCAACCCTGGCTTTTGCAAATCCTAAACCTGCAAACCGGCCACATGAAAGCGAGCGAAACCAGAAACCCCGAGCAAAGCCTTGTGGAAGCTTTAGTGTCTTTGAAAAAATCCTCCCTAAACCCTACACCATCCTAAACCTTAACCATGAGCTCTAGCCCTAAACCCTAAACCCGCTCACCATGTTGCTGATCCGAGATCTTGGCGCTTCGGCGCCCTGCTCGTGGATCGCTGGGGCACAGAGTATGAGACTCTGCAGTGGGTTAAATAATTGGGGCCTGTGTGGGCGTTGATGCTGTTTGTTGTTGGTGCACGTCTTTGAAGCTGCTCCAAGAAAAGAAGGGGCCCAGACGCTCCGTGGATGTTGTTGCTGTGTGTTCCCGACGTTCTGCACAGCCTCAGTCCTGTCAATTTCAGAAGTTTCGCCTCTTGCACTTATATAATAGGTCAACTGAGGAGTTGTTTAAGGAGGTCGGCTTTGCCACGCTTTGCACGCAAGGACGAAGATTTGGATTTGGTGGAACAGCATCAGCTGCTGCTCGAAGCTTGCATCGAAACTGTCGATGAAGAAGATCTCCCAGTCCCTGCTTCTTTCACGCCTTCCAAAACTAGGGTTTAGGGTTTAGGGCCTAGGGTTTAGGGTTTAGGGTTTAGGGTTTAGGGTTTAGGGTTTAAGGTTTACAACGGCATCATGTATGGTTCAGGTCTTGGATGGAGCGGTTGCTAAGGGCCAGCGGTGTCCGGTGCATTGCATCGAAGCCTGAATACGAAGAGTCTTACCCTAAGGGTCCATGTACCCATATAGTTTATATTTGGGCCCTAAAGCTACGATCTGGGAACCCCTTTTCAGGCCCAAGTATATGCCTTTCCGTTTTTATATGAGGCTCTGAGGAGTGGCATGCACAGCCTTCCGGTATGCCATAGTATATGCTATATAGGTACATGGACCCTTAGGGTTAGAGACGATCAAGCCTGCGAGGAAAGGCAAGGTTAGGATGAGTATGTTCCGTCTGGTCGGAACATTCTTTAACCCTAAGCCCTCAGCCCTCCCGAATCCCTAAAACGGGGTATGCTAGGAATAGTTATGGCAACTGCTGCTCCTAGGACGAACAGCCAGACTCATTTCTTAGTAGCTGAAAAAGGTCACTGTTGTCTGAGCCTAGGAAAATGGCGGCTTGATTGTGGCAGACAATGTGCTTTCCACTGCGGCGGCACAGTACCTGTGGAGGCAGTGGTGCCAAGCACTAGTAGACATCAGTGGGCGCAAGCTTCAGGACCTTCAGCCCTAAACCCAAGACCCCAACCCTAAACTTGAAGACCTCTGAAGACCTACACAGCGCTGTTCAGCCTATGGTCACTACTCAGAATGATAACAGGGTTAAGAGTTTAGTTCGAAGGTCCCCCTCATGTACTGCCTAGAATTGTCAGATCCTCAATAGGTGAAGCCGCCGAAGTCACCCAAAAGGGCGCCCACATATTTGGCAGCCAGCTTTTTCTGCTGATGTATATGGGTATGTAGATATATATATATATATAGATAGATAGATATAGATAGACATACATATATATATATATATGGTGTGAGCGGTTCCATTCATGGGTATGTATTTGTCTATGTAAATATAGTGAGTTTTGTGCATGTACGTGGGGTTGTTCTCAATCAAGGTGCCTTCCCCCCCCACCCTCCCCCCCACCCTTCCCTGCGAAAAGGGAGCCCTGAGTTCACCCGGGAAATACGTTCACTCGAAAAAAGGGATCCCTTTTTGGTCTTGCATTGAGGGGGGGGGGGGTATCACAAAGGCAAAAGGGTTTTGTTTAGAGCTTCGGGGAAGGAGATTAAGGGGCCTCGACAAGATTTGAAGCCCTAAACCCTAAACCCTAAACCGAGACAGGACCTCGGCGCTTGCAGGCGGCATGCCGGAAGGCTGCGGAGGCAGGTGGCGCGACAAACCGAAGCTGAAGGGAGTCGGAAGGAGGGCAACTGAGAGCGAGAGGGAGAGAAAGCTAACAGCGCACTGCTCTGGAATGTAGGCCTCCAGCGAGCCAGTACATTGCAATCATTCATTCATTCCAGGCCGTTCTTAAAGACCCACAGACATCGTGTAGACTTCGTGTATAAGGGGTAGGCAGAGGATCCCAACACCAAACCCGCACACTCACAACTCGTCTGTTCATCCTTTTCGAAACATGTCAGGCCCTGGCGGCATGGCCTTGTGCTACACTTCGCAGGCTTGTCTGTAGCGGGCAGCTGCAGAATACGTCCGGCTGACTCTACTCCCCTGGGCGCCTAAAACCCAACTAACCCCCCCCCCCCCCCCCCCCCTTCTTTCGGATCAGGGCCTTATTGAACGCATTCACAATGAATGACTATTAATTAAGGCCCTAAACCCTAAACCCTACACCCAAAACCCTAAAACCCTAAACCCTAAACCCTCAACCCTCAACCCTAAACCCTAAACCCTACCATCCCTCATGTCGGCGCGCAGGTTGTGTCAGTGCAGGAAGTGGCCGACAGTTCTCAGGACGATCGGGGCTCAAGCGGCTTAGACAGATCGGAGGCGGCTGCCGAAAGCCCAAAGAGCCCCATACCCCTCAAGTAAGGAATATACCTTAAATCATATATTGAGGATCATATAAATTCAGCAATATGCCCTAACTGAGGGATATTGGGCAATTTAGGAGCCTGTTTCTGTTATCGGGAGTCAAGACAGATCTGCCTTCTTGCACGTGCCAGTTTCTGGCCCGAAGGTGCGCGCAAGGCAAAAGCAGCAAGCATCACAGCTGATCTCCTGTGGGGTATACGGAGCTGCAGCGATAGAACTGAAGATTCTCTGGCACCGTTTTTGTTGTTGAGACGCCCGGGGGTAGCCTGGGCGAGAAAGCGAGCCTCATGACAAGAACCGACATTCGTCTTTTTCTCTTATTTGGTGTCAAAGGATCATGTTTAGGAGCCTTTTTCGAGGGTTTTAAGGACCAGCCTAGTTTGCCATATGTTTGATTGCCCTTCCTTGCCTCCTGACAACCCTAAACCCTAAACCCTAAACCCTAAACCCTAAACCCTAAACCCCAGAAACTTTCACATGAATATCGCCTATCAACCCTCTTGGGGCCCCTGTTTAGAGCCATGGCGCCGGGGTGTGTGAATGCACGTCTGGTACACGTGTGCTTCTGCACCTTCCTGGCCATCATCAGCGCCCTGCTCGGCCTAGGGGCCTTCGTCTGCGTGATGTTCGACTCCTGGCAGCCCAGTGGTACCCTTTATCTAGAAGTAAGCAACAAAAATAACAGCTGCCTTCATTTTTCAATATGGTTACTGGGCTACCATCAGGACTTCTTCGTCAAAATCTCGGCTTTTGCCGTTCTCGGTGGCCTGGTGACCTTCTTGGGCTCATCCGGGTGGCTCCTTGCGTTGCAGGCTCCAGCAGGCATGGCGCTCACGGGGCTGCCAGCACCTGTTGCATCACACTGCCGCTGCATGAGGATTTGGGCGCCCTCTTCCTTCGAGGCGTTGAAGCTGGAGAGTCCGCAGTTTCGGGTCTTCGCGTGCCAGCGCAAGGCTGCATCAGAGCTGTCAGCCATGGCAATCGAGCCTTCTCTGTCGACAATCCGTGCCGCCTGGGTGCAGCCTCATGACACTTGCTGTTGCTGCTTGGCAGCTTTCGAGGAGGAAAGCGCAGTTGCCGTCCTGCCGTGCGGGCATGTCTTCCACGAAGACTGCATTGTGGCATGGTCATTGACACCATCGGACATGTCAGGTTCGTGTCCCGTGTGCCGACGCCACTTCGGGGCATCCCAGACAGAAAGCTGTGAAGTTTTATTCGAGGCGCTGCGAGCAGCTTGAGGCCTGTTGGGGGTGGTGCGCCCATCACACTCCCAAAGAGCCCCATACTCCTGAAACCAGGGAGTAGATTCCTTAATTTATATGATCCTAATATCTAATTTCGGGCATAATTATTCCTTAGGGCTGAAAGTCCGAAGCAAACATCCGCCAGGCCTTGCGCCAGAGGATGGCATTGACTCACCAGTCGACACGCAGATCTTGCGCCAACAGCGCATGCGAGCTGCCCCACCTTGTTCAGACCTGATCCCCTAAACCCGCCGAACGCCCCAGCATACCTAGAGTAACCGGCATACACCCCTTAAAAGCTTCCTAATCGTCAGGATGTAGAGCCAACTTTCCCTAGACCCTAAACACGCAGCAGGAACCCTAAACCCTTGGAAGTCCTCTTAAGCCTTTGCAGATCCGACGCTGCCCAAAGGGCCCAGTACTCACTAATTGAGGAATCTACCTCAAATCATATATTCAGGATCCCCATATAAATTTCAGGATACCTTAGATCAGATTGAGGATCCCTATATACATTTAAGGAATAACCCTAAACCCTAAACCCTAAACCCTAGCTAAGGGATATTGGGCTCTTTGGGTGTGATGCTCAAACTCCTTCCATGACGCTCCAAGGGGAGCTCTGGGTCGGCTGTATGCCAAGACCGATGTACAGCTGCCCTGCCTGGTTCTCGTGTACATGTACCTATATAGTATATACTTGTGCCTCTTAAAAGGTCCCTATATAGTAGCTTTAGAGCGCAAGTATATACTATATAGGTACATGGATCCTTAGGGGTACTAGAGGGGTTTTAACGCTTAACATGGGGTTCGGGGGGGTTAGAACGAGTATATAAGTAGAGGGACCATACGGGAATACGATTGGTAGTTCTTCCGACCCCTATATGTCTTGAGATTGGTTTAGGGCTTAGGGTTTAGGATTTCGGGTTGTAAAAAGGGTTTTGGGCTCAAAGGGTTTGAGGACTTTTTTGCTGTTTCTGTGTTGCAGGCTCGGCAGGGCAGGAGGCAGACCTTTGTGAGCCCGTGGTTCGGGACGACTTCTGAGTCATGCCATCCTAGTTTCGACCTTTCCTGACACATCCGTGGACGCGCGGTTCGAAATTGGCGGTGCGACCGGACATGCCGGCTTCCCTACTTGAAGGTTCATGGTACGAATTAACCAACTATAGCTGCACTTATAACTGTACTTATAAGCCCCTTAAGTGCCCTGCTTTGGTTATAAGTACAGTTATAAGTACAGTTATAAGTACAGTCATAATTGGTTACTAAGTACCATGAACCTTCAAGTATGAACCCTAAACAAGCGACCCGGGGAGCTCTGAGGGCCTGCCATTTGCCGAAGTCCGTGTTACCAACTGATCCCATGTCCGCTGCGTCTTTGCTTCGGTAGGCCCCAATCATGTGGTGTTGTGACAGCATCAAGCAGAGCACGCATGTCCAAACACATGCCCACAAGCACATGCCCCTATGGCTCCACATAGCCCAACTCCACATAGCTCAAAGTAGGCATTTATTCTGAAGTCATCTTGCACGCTTTAGTACGTATCATTTGCATATTTGGAGCCCTATAGGGTACAGTCCAAAAGGCCAATGCTGTCCTGTCGTGCCGCGGAACCTGAGCATTATCTGGCAGTCTCCGCCTTTATGATTGTGTCTGGCACTGCTTGCGCTCTCATTGCCCTGGTCTTCGCGATCTTCGGCAACTACCCACCATGGGCTGCATGGTGCGGTGTCTCTGCAGGACGAACCCCCCTCAAAAAAAGTGAAGATATTCATCCTTGCAAGGGCAAAACATTGAGGCATTGTGAATAATTTTTTGAGGGTTCTTAAGCAAGTAGTAGAACCCTAAACCCTAAACCCTAAACCAGGAGTGGCATGTTTCGCATCTTCCCTCTGGCTTCTCCTGCTTGAGTCTGTAGAAACAGTGGCGACGGCATACGGCACGAGACGGGGGCCAGCGACTTCGGAGCCAGAGAGTTCGGCATCCGCTGTATGATTTTGGTGGTCGTTCCGATTCGTTCCCATTTTTCAAGGTGAAAAAAAGCAAAGTTGAAAGCGATGCCCCGGAGCGCGCCCATATCCGTGTGCCCAGTTGGGGCACCACCCACCAGGTCTTCCTGCACCCCCACCGATCGCAACCTCTAGAAGTTGCCCGGCAACTGGGTCTTGGAGTACTATACTTTAATACTTTTTTTGGTTCTGGATTCCTATTATAGCTACTTATACCTAAAAAGTTATACCTTTTTTCCCAGGGTCTACTCCAAAGCTAAGGCAAGGTGCCACCAGTGAGGGCCCCGCAACTGTTTGTGCAGTCTTTGTGTAGTTCCATCTGTTCCAGGCAGCTCAGTGCTGCATGCTCGCAAGGCTCAATGGGTATAGGTGTCTTGGCGACGTGATCCCCAGCCCTCCGTATAGGGGTGCTACGTGTGGGTGTAAACCCTAAACCCTAATCCCAGGTTCTTGTGCCGACTGGTGTTATGTCGGTTGATGCAAGAGACACTGTGCCATTGAGTCCATTCGCCGTGTTGGCATGAAATCCCTGAGCCTTGCGAGCCATGTTCGACCTGGCGTTCGACTTGGCCAGCCATCTGACACACTGTACAGAACTTTTTAATTTACGGGATCAGTAGTTGGCAAACTAAAAGAAGCAGATGACAAAAAGAAGAAGGATTGAACCCTGCGAAATCCCCAGAGCAATGTGCCCCGAAACCACTTACAAAAAAGTGTAACCTTTTTGATTCCTAGGTTGTAGGAGAAGTAAGACCATTGAAGCCCTCCAACCCCTCCAAGCACTGCACGCGCGAAGCATGTGAGCTTCCCTCCTCCCAGTCATGTCCCGTGCTTGGGCTTCCAAGATCTTCGCCGCCCAGTTTGACCCTTTACCCTTTGTTGTGGTTCTGAGTTCCCTTATGAAGTAACCAACCTGAAAAGGGCAGCCTTATTATGGATGGTTACTGGGCTAGCAAGAGATGAAGTTTGTTGGTCTTGGGGATGTTTGCGAGTACGCAAACATGCATGCGCACAGAGGCTCATATCTCCAGATGCTGTAAAGGGTGATTAGTGCAGAGTGAGGTACTTATATGATATACCATGAAAGGGTTTTTTCTGAACCCTAAACCCTAAACCCTAAACCCGACTGTAAACCCTCAACCCAAAGGAGGACTGGGTGTCCGTGGCCGTCAGCTCCGGGAGACGGGTGAGGAGTGACCGTCCGGCGCAGGAGATTCCGGAGGACAGGGGCCCAAAGAGCCCAAGATCCCTTAATTAGGGTTTAGGGTTTAGGGTATTTGAAAAGCAGGAATTCTTAATATGATGTAAGGTACATTCCTTAATTGAGGGCATTGAGATCTTTTGAGGTGGGGCTTCGGGCTTTACCCTTTCAGGCTAGAAGACTCCAAATAGCCCAGAGTAGGTATGACTAACAGACTTTAGACCTCCATGTAGGTTTGTATACTTGTTGCCCTAGGGTTAGAGTTCAGGGTTGAGGGGTGGTTATTTAAAGGCCAGCTTGGGTGTGTAGGATCCGAGCCAAACGTGCCAAAACAAACCCTACGACACATGGGGTCCTCTCGGCTCGCCAACGAGAGAGCACACCTGGGGTGCGGCTTCCCAAGTGCCCGAATCCGCTCCTTCCGGGTACTGGGCTTCGCTATTGCTATGACCTATAGTATAATACGTTCTACTATATTATGCTATGTTATGTTATGTTATGTTATGATATGATCAATTATGTTACATAGTTCATATTACATGCTACATACGACACAGTCTACACATCTTCTAGAAATCTACACAAGGCCCACTTGTCAGGATGCTCTAAAAGTTTAGGGCTACCCTAAACCCTAACGCTAAACCTTAAACACTAAACCCGAAACCCTAACCCTAAACCCTAAACCCTAAACCCTAAACCCTAAACCCTAAACCCTAAACCCCACAAGCGGCCTTTGCATGCCAGGAGCTCGCAGAGCTCAACCGCCTGTCTATGTGCCTCCGCCCGCGCGTCGTGGGCCCGAGCGGCAACCAGGCCAGGACCTCTGAACCTCTAAGGTGAGGGTTTAGGGTTTAGGGTTTGGGGTTTAGGGTTTGGGGTTTAGGGTTTGGGGTTTAGGGTTTAGGGTTTAGGGTTCAGCATCTCAAGTCCAAGCCTTCACTCGTCAAGCAGCTTGTCAAGCGTTGGAAATAACCCTACCCACCCAAGAAACCCATAACATTGAGAAAATACAAAGTTCATTCAGTACATTTTCAGTAGGCTTATAGCTCAAAAGTCCGCCCAAAATTCTAAAATCTAACTTTTTGGAAGCAAACTTTCCCTCTTAAGGGGGGTCGGAGTAGGAAGCTCGGTTTGAGTCAAACATCCAGAAAACGAGAAGCCACCCAGAACCGTCGATTTCAGTACTAAAAAATAGCATTTTTAATTGGAAGGGGGGGTCGGAGTTTGAGGCAAGGGGGGGTCTCCGAAGACTATTTTGCCTTTAAAATTGGAAAATACGACCCCTTCCTTGACCAAAACTAGGCTGTGAAAAGGTCACAGGGATGGCCCGTCATCAGAATTGAGGGTTAAAAACCCTGAAACACCCTGAATAACATTGGAAAACCTCAAAAAAACACGGAAAAACTTTGAAAAACCTTGACAGAACGTGAAAAAACTTGAAATCCTGAAGCCGGTGAAGCTCGGTTTTGGTCAAAAATCCAGAAAACGACAGGCCACCCAGAACCGTCGATTTCAGTACTAAAAACTCGCATTTTTAACTGGTGCCCTTGCCGATCCTGGGGTCCCCATCATTTGGGGTGTTTTGGGAGGCAAACTTTCCCTCTCAAGGGGGGGTCGGAGTTTGAGGCAAGGGGGGGGGTTTCCGAAGACTATTTTGCCTTTAAAATTGGAAAATACGACCCCCCCTTGACCAAAACTAGGCTGTGAAAAGGTCGCCGGGGTGGCCCGTCATCAGAATTGAGGGTTGAAAAAACATTGGAAAACCTCAAAAAAACACGGAAAAACTTTGAAAAAACCTTGACAGAACGTGAAAAAACTTGAAATCCTGAAGCCGATAAAGCTCACTTTTGGTCAAAAATCCAGAAAACGACAGGCCACCCAGAACCGTCGATTTCAGTACTAAAAAATCGCATTTTTAACTGGGGCCCTTGCCGATCCTGGGGTCCCCCTCATTTGGGGTGTTTTGGGAGGCAAACTTTCCCTCTCAAGGGGGGGGTCGGAGTTTGAGGCAAGGGGGGGGTCTCCGAAGACTATTTTGCCTTTAAAATTGGGAAATACGACCCCGTCATCAGAATTGAGGGTTAAAAAACCCTTAAACACCCTGAAAAACATTGGAAAACCTTAAAAAACACTGAAAAACTTGAAAAACCTTGACAGAACATGAAAAAACTTAAAATCCTGAAGCCGGTGAAGCTCGGTTTTGGTCAAAAATCCAGAAAGCGAGAAGCCACCCAGAACCGTCGATTTCAGTACTAAAAAATCGCATTTTTAACTGGGACCCTTGCCGATCCTGGGGTGGGGTGTTTTGGCAAAATTTCGCCTCAAACCCTATGCCCCAAACCCTATGAGCCCTAAACCCTATGCCCCAAATAGAAAAAACCATTTGCCGACGAAGGGGGTCAGGGTTTAGGGCCCCCCCCCGGGTGGAAAAAACCATTTGCCGACGAAGGGGGTCAGGGTTTAGGGCCTCCCCCCGGGTGGAAAAAAACCATTTGCCGACGAAGGGGGTCAGGGTTTAGGGCCGCCCCCGGGTGGAAAAAAACCATTTGCCGACGAAGGGGGTCAGGGTTTAGGGCCCCCCCCGGGTGGAAAAAAACCATTTGCCGACGAAGGGGGTCAGGGTTTAGGGCCCCCCCGGGTGGAAAAAAACCATTTGCCGACGAAGGGGGTCAGGGTTTAGGGCCCCCCCGGGTGGAAAAAAACCATTTGCCGACGAAGGGGGTCAGGGTTTAGGGCCCCCCCCCCGGGTGGAAAAAAACCATTTGCCGACGAAGGGGGTCAGGGTTTAGGGCCCCCCCCGGGGTGGAAAAAAACCATTTGCCGACGAAGGGGGTCAGGGTTTAGGACCCCCCCGGGTGGAAAAAAACCATTTGCCGACGAAGGGGGTCAGGGTTTAGGGCCCCCCCCGGGTGGAAAAAAACCATTTGCCGACGAAGGGGGTCAGGGTTTAGGGCCCCCCCCGGGTGGAAAAACACCATTTGCCGACGAAGGGGGTCAGGGTTTAGGGCCCCCCCCGGGCGGAAAAAACCATTTGCCGACGAAGGGGTCAGGGTTTAGGGCCCCCCCCCGGGTGGAAAAAAACCATTTGCCGACGAAGGTCATTAGGGTTTAAATATACATAGTAAGAGAGGGTTTAGGGTTTAGGGTTTAGGGTAGGGTTTCGGGTTTGGGTTTAGGGTTTAGGGGGTGTGGGGTTTGGGGTTTAGGGTTAGGGTTTAGGGGATCCTAAGCCCTGTTAAAGCCCTGCACTACATGGGGGTTTCCGATTTTAGGGGGTACCTTCTTGGGGTCCTTGTTATAGGGGGAATCTTACTATTTGGGGGGCTATGTATGGGTCCCTATTTTCGTAAACTCCCAAATCGCCCCAAAACTGTCTGGCTTGCAGGGGGCCCTGCATCTGGAAACCTGAAAATCTCCCGAATCCCCTAAACCCTAAACCCTAAACCCTAAACCCTAAACCCTAAACCCTAAACCCTAAACCCTAAACCCTAAACCCTAAACCCTAAACAGACCCTAAACCCTAAAGCCTGTTTTGTCCGAGGCGGAGCTTCAATCACCCAAACCCCGAGGCCCTTTTGCTGCCCTGATTTTGGGGCGTACCCCTTCCCCACCCCTCTCTTGGGGAAGTAATCCCGAAAGCCTTAGGTTTAGGGTTTAGGGTTTAGGGTCTAGGGTCTAGGGTTTAGGGTCCCAGAGAATCCCCCTTAGCCTAAGCCTTAAACCGTTGAACCCTAAACCCCCTTGTTTTGGCTCGAGGGCTGCCTTAAACCCTAGGCCTTAAACCCTCAACCCCCTTCTTTTGGCTCAAGAGCTGCCTTTTCCCGAGCCTGTGTTCAGTCCTACTACTTGCTTAAGAACCCCGAAAAAATATAAAAATATTCTTCCTCATTAAGGTTAACATAGGGATTACTTCTTCTTCTTCTTCTTTTGGGGTTCTTAGGCAAATAGTTCAGTCGTGGCGAGTCTACCCGTGTCTTTGCCATGTCGGAGCGGTCGGAGCGTACCCTGAGCGACGCTTCGAGCCTCGAGGGCCTTGAGTGGGAACTTCGAGGACATGAGCTGGGGGACTTGCAAGCCTATGTCCCTCAGTAGCTGAATGAGCACACTTGATACACTTTTTGGGATAATTACTAGATTCCCCCCCCCCTATAGAACTGAAAGTGTACACTTGTTTGGGGGGCTTATAAACTCGGCAACTAAGGTCCATGACCTACTGGACCGAGCCATCTTCTCCATCAAGACCGCCACGAACCAGGCCAGCCGACGCCGCGCACGCCAGCGGCTGCAAAGGAAGCTCAGCGACTTCTTGACCAAGGAGCAGTATGACCAGGCGATGCAGCAGTTCAAGGGCCTGTGCGAGACACGGCTTGGCTACGTGTGGCGTGTGGCCCAGCACTCTGACAAGCCTTCTTCGGCGCAGCCCGGCGTGTGCTATTTGCAGTTCAACGAGAGCTCTCTGCAGTGGGAACACTGTTTCCTGTGATTGACTTTGGGCACAGCAGCCTTCTGACAGTTTCAAGGCGCTTGTGGACTTCCAGAGATGAGAGGGGCTTTTGCTTTCTTGTTTTCGTACTCTTTTTCTCTTCAAAGGTGGCGGGAAAGGCCTCCTGGGTGTCAGTTTTGTTCTGATTCGGCTCCGTGAAAACGACCGTCCGAGCCCAATTGCATGAAAGATGTCGGCGCCTGCCACAGCCGCAGGTGCCGCTAGCCCACAACCCAAAGAGCCCAACATCCCTTAAGTTGGGGAATATTCCTTAATTTATACTAGGGATCCTCAATATGATCTATAAAGGCATGTATTCCTTAGTTAAGGGGTCTTGGGGCTCTTTGGGGACATCTGTGGTGCGCCTGTACAGTGCAGTCTGAGGGGTGCGTTGATCCATCTTTATCTCCTGGAGCTTGAGGGGCATGGTGCCAGGACCATGGCTCGACACCGGGCTTTCTTGAGGCTCAGTAGCGGCGTCCGAAGAGCAAGGTGCTTCTAAGGTCCAATGGAGGGGAAAGGCCAAATAGTTCCCTAAACCCTCAACCCTCAACCCTAAACCCTAAACCCTAAACCTTGGGGCAGATATAGAAGTTTTGGGGGTGTTGATGGGCTTTGTGAGTTCGGACACCCAAGCCTATAGTTCCGTCAAGCCCTGGCGGCCTCGCACGGCACGCCAAGGGGGAACAAAAGTCGAACGAAGCCTTGCCTGCCTCGTGCGAGTGTGAGAGCCGAAGCCCTAAACCCTAAGCCCTAAACCCTAGGCCCTAAACCCTAAACCCTAAACCCTAAACGACGGACCATGAAGCCCCGCAGTGCTGTGGCTAGCCGGGTGCCCAAAAAAACCCTAAACCCTAAACCCTAAACCCTAAACCCTAAACCCTAAACCCTAAACCCTAAACCCTAAACCCTAAACCCTAAACCCTCCCACCCTGAGGTGGCTGCGGTCGAGATGCCGCAGCTGGCAGTCCAGGCCAAGGTGCGTCAATCATGGCTAGGGTTTAGGGTTTAGGGTTTCGGGTTTAGGGTTTCGGGGTTTATGGGGTGCAGGGTTTTGGGGGTTTATAGGTTTTATCGGGTTTTGGGGTTTTTTTTCTGCGTTTAGGGTTTTCGGGGTTTTCAGGCTTGAGTCATATGAGGGGCTTTAGGGGTTTGAGGGTTGTTTTTTTGTTTATTAGGGATTTCGGGGGGGGGTTTAGTGTTTGGGGTTTTCTTAGGTGTGTCCGAGGTGTATTGGGTTTGGGGGTTTGGGGCGTTTTTGAGGTGTAGGGTTTAGGGGTTTTCAGGATTTTCGGGGTTTTTAGGGTTTCCGGGTTTTTTGGGGGGTTTTCGGGTTTATAGGGTTTAGGGCTTTTAGGGTGTTTAGGGGTTTTGGGCTTGTAAGGGTTTGGAGGATTTTGTGGTGGTTTAGGGTTTGGGGTCTAGGGGCTGTTTATCTTTTTTTGGGGGGGTATGAACCCCAACATGGGGGGCGCAGCCTCTTATCCATTGCAAATGTACTTTGCAAGGGCCCCCATCTTCAGGCAAACTTAAGATCCTGTAAGTTAAACCCTAAGATCTGTATCTCCACAGGCCCCTAAACCCAAACCCCTCAACCTCCACACAGCTGCATCGGTGGCAAACGCCCTTGGCAGACAACGACAGGACGATCCCTAGACCTTGGGATGTTCGCCCTTATTGCTAACTGCTAACAGTCCTTAAGAGGGATTACAGCACCCCAGTATAATCATCATCCCTACTAAGGACTCTTAGGATAGGGGGGGAACATCCCAACCTAGACCCTACACTACCCTAAGCCCCTAAACCCTACAAACCCGAAACCCTCAAACCCCTTGAATCCCAAAGCTGCCAGGCAGCCTTCAAACGCGCGAATCTTGGACCGGTCGAGTGGCCCCGTGAGGGAGAAAAAATGGCGCGCGAGAAGGGCCTCCGCTTGCCGCCAGATGATGTGGAAAAGGCTAGAGCTTGGGATGTCTCCCCTTCTACTTAACACTCCTTAATGGGAATTATAGTACCCCCTATCATATTCCCTATTTAGGACTGTTAGTATTAGGGGGAGCATCCCAGGCTACCTAGGGGGGCGTTTCTGCATGGGCCCGAAAAAGGGCGCGCTTGTAGCTTCGGCTTTAAAGGGCTCAGGGATGTTCAGGGGGACGTTGTGTGTAGGGTTTAGATTCTTAAACTAAGGCTTAAAGGGTTTATAGGTTTATAAGGTTCAGGCTTTTGGACACTCCCAGTCTTAGACACTCCACCTGCCAGCTGCGTCCATCGCTGGTGTTGACAAGACCTCACGCCCTAAACCCTAAACCCTAAACCCTAAACCCTAAACCTTAAGAAACTGGGAATGGAAACCGTGTCCATCCACACCCTCAACCAAAAACCGAAGCCCCCTGCATGCGTTCCACGTCTGTTCGGTGTTGAGAGTGTAGGGTTTTGGGTTTAGGCTTTAGGGTGCATTCCTACAGTTTCTACTGCTGGAGAGGGGCGCTTGCTCCAGCAGTCATTGCGGTGCTCAGGCATCACTGGTCAGGATGTCCAGCGTGGAACTTTTGCCCACCGTCACTGTGCCGGGCACCCAGGTCACGTAGGCCCAACGACGAAGTGAGGCAGAGCTCCCAACACCATCCATCCACCTTCTTGCGCTTCACCAAGTAATCGATTCGTCAACCTTCTTGATGCACTTGCTTTCGCACCTGACCCCATCAGTCAACCCCCCGAGGTCATCAAAGACCAGAATACGGGCGCCGACTATTGACTCCCTGCAGAATTGGTCATCGTTAATGACACATTGCATGTCCAACATGCCTCCATCGAAACCTTCCTTTGGGGATCGGAGGAGCCATTTGGAGGAGGCAACTCGCCCCGTCCCCCCCCCCCCCCAGTGGACTAGGCCTTTGGGACATTTTGTATCTCCCTCATTGGGGTTTAAGAGTTTGAAGCTTAAGGACCATCCTAGTGAACAAACAGCAGAGACGTCCGCGCCTCCAGCTTAAACCCTTAACCCCTCAAGAAACTTCTTACTGGTTCTTGGGAAGGAATGAGGGAATTAGGTACCCTATAGAATCCCTTAAGGGGTATATAGAGGGGATGCCCTTTGTAATCCCTGAAAGGACGTTTATGGGGGGGATAAGGAAGCAAGGGATCAGCAAACATGCCAACAGCAACAGGAAGAATAGAATTGACCATAGTTGAAATCCCTGGCCCGCATCTGGGTAGCCTCTACGAGAGGTCTTTAAAGGAGCTTCCCAAGAGTGTGTTTAAAAACAGAAAAAAAACCTCACAAGTTGCTCCGGAGCATTTTTTTGGCCGTGTTTCTTGTGTTTTTGTTGTGGTTTGTTTGTTTCGTTTTTTTCTTACAGCCTGAGCGTCGTCTCGATATAAGGTGCAGTACCTACTTCCCTCATGCCCTTCTAAGAACCCGGGGGGCCCCTCAGGCTTCCTGAACCCCTTAAATAAGGAAAATACCCTAATTCCTGCCAAGGATCCCTAAACCCTAAACCCTAAACCCTAAACCCTAAACCCTAAACCCTAAACCCTTAGTATAAATTAGGGCATACTCATGAATTAAGGGGTTTTGGGGGGCCCCTCAGGCTTCCTGAACAACCTGGATCTCGGCCCCCAGGAGCGCGAGCTTCGAATGCTGAGGGCTTAAGGTTTTTTTTTCAGGGTTTCGGGTTTAGAGTTTTTTTTTCAGGGTTTCGGGTTTAGAGTTTCTCTGAGGGTAGTTCTATGGGCCCTTCATATGGCCCCTTGCCTCCTTGAAAGGGTTCTGAGGTAATTATGGGTCCTTGGGGTGAAAAGGGTATATAAGGGGTGTATAAGGGGTCCCCTTATCAGGGCCCCATACGAATGGATCGTGTAGCTACCCTAATAAGAGTTTCAGGCAGGGTGTCGGAGTTGGAGGTGTCCGGGCTTTGGTGTTAGGGGTGTATAGGATTCCGCGGCGGGTGCAAATGCAACCCTATAAACCCTAAACCCTAAGCCCTAAACCCTAAACCCTAAACCCTAAAAGGGTTCGAGGCCCAGGTTCCCTCTGAAGAGCAGCACGTTGTCTCCGGCTTGTGAGACGCTATTTCGTGACGTTGTTTTGTTGGAGTGTGTTGCTTGTTGAGGTGGTTCAACTTACGGGTACTTGGATCTTTTTAAAATCTTGGGATAACCCTAATTCCTAAGAAACAGCAACAATCATAATTTTTGCTTGGGTTCCAAGTTCAGTATAGTCAAGTTCGGCCTCCCATGTGCCAGCACCTGAAACAGGAGAGATTCATCGCTCGAAACTCCATCCTCGCAGAGTACGGCGTGACGGGATTCGAGCTTGGATACAGTTGCCCATCTAAGATTATGCTTAGGGTTTTGCAGGCTCTGAGAGGGCTCTCTTTATGCAAGGAACTAACCCTACGGCCCTGCACACCTCTGCAGCATTGCATCGTTCTCCGACGGCCGCAAGAGCCAACACACTCCTGTTCGTGAAAGTAGTCGGTGGTTCCTGGCACCAGCTGCCTGGTAAGCTGATAAGGGTTTGAGAAACATCCGCAGGATTGGCTATGCTAGTTGAGTGCTGTAGAACGGGAAGAATTGAACGGAATGTTGATGGGTTGAGGGGAGGGGTCCATATCGAGGGCTCCGCACCCCGCCATGCTTCTTGCACTCTAACCCTAAGGCTCCAAATAGCCCAAAGTAGGTATTATTGACAGACTTTGAACCCCAATGTAGGTACTATTTGTATACTTGGAGCCTTAGGGTAAGCAAGAGGGCTTTCAACACAAGACATCCGGAAGCGATGGAGGTGCCACTTTTGACCCTGAACCCTTACAAATCCCGAAACCCTAAAACGAACACGTAAGCCCTATTGTGCGTGATGACCTTCTTTGCGATAGCCCTTTCTAAGCTCCGGTTTCACAAGACCCCAAGAACCTTCCGGGATGCCGATACCGTAAGAATGCGGCCCCAGGCTATGAGAATCCGACAGCCCTGGTCATTTGGGAGGCCAGCCACCCAAAACCCTCATCCTCGCAACCCAGAAAACTAAGGGCACATGTACCTACACAGTATATACTTGGGCGCTAAAGCGGAACCCCTTTAATTAAGGCCCAAGTATTTGGTAGGTACATGGACCCTTTGGGACGGTAAGCGCATGCCTTGCGACCGCAAGTGTATGGGTAGTTGTGTGGCCAGGTCGTTCACCAGTAGGTATTCTTGGGTTGTCTAGGTGTAAGAGGAATGTATGCAGGCTCGAAAGTAAAGGCCAGTACTAAAGGACTTGCAACTACCCCGAGACACAATTCGACACCCCTACAACCTGTCTAGGAGGCAGCCAAAAGTAATACTGGACGAGGGGTTTCATCGGTGTAAACTTGTCGAGTGGGCGTTCATATTCAAGTGCTGGAAAAAGATCCGGAGGGTCGTGATGTCCTGAGTTCTGCCAAGTGTTGCCAGGCCCAGTTCGGCGACTTTGCGAACACGGCCCAGGCGCGCCCCCCAAAAAACGTCGCCCCGAGTCAACCTCACCCACAACTCCTTTAACAATCTACCGTAGGGTTCGGAATAATTTCCAATATTCTTTTCTTTATGGTCCCGTTATACTTAAACTATAAAGACCCTCCAAACCCCTATTCTAATTACTAAGGCCCCTAGAGTACCAGGTATCACCATGAGTATGTGGGGAGGGGACCCCAAAAGAGACCACGATTGTCTAGACCCTATCTTATTGTACTTTTAGGTTTGTGGGTGTGTATGATGGGGTGTCCTGTTGTGGGGACACTGGCAATGAAAGCATACAAAGCCCAGAAGCTACACGAAAAGCACTCTGCAAAGACCCCCTGGTTCTTAGTAGGGAATGAGGGAATGAAGGCCCTATATAATTCCTTAAAAGGGTATGTATATATATATATATATATATATATATATTTGTTTTTTTATATTTATATTTATATATATATATAATTATATTTGTATTTATGTTTTTTTGTATTTGTATGTATATATATATATATATATATATAAAGGGCCCTCATTCAGAAGAGTGCCCTGAGCCCAAAGGAGCTATGTACCTAGCGGATAAATGACCTCGAGCCTGCCTACACTTTGCGCCCATGTATCCCCTTTAAAGTCCCTGCACCCTAACCCCCCTAAACCCTCAATCCTTAAAGGTACACAGCTGCTTTTGCATTATAGTTAGGGTTTAGGGTTTAGGGTTTAGGGTTTAGGTTTAGGGTTTAATCTGAGAGCGGCTCGAACCAGGTGATGACGGATCAGTTCATCTCCGCTGGGGAGCCCTGGCGGAATGGCCCGCCAAGCCAGGGGATGTAGGTGCAAGAGAGGTTTCCAGTTTAGGGTTTATGGTTTAGGGTTCAGGGTTTAGGTTTTGGGTTTAGGGTTTAGGGGTTACATCCTGGGCACTGTAGCACCCAAATAAACTGCACAGCATGATTCGGTCCCTACGAAAGCAAGTAGCTCCCACCCCCCTCCTCCTCCCACCCAACCCCTCCTTAGGGTAGATAGACAGAACCCTAAATCCTAAACCTAAAACCCTAACCCCTAAACCCTAAGCCCCGAGCCTGTTGAAACAAGGAGGGTCTTTTGCAACGGCGTGCGGGTTCCGGGTTTGGGTCCCTCTTTTTGAGCCACGCTGGCGGCGCCATCGCCTTTGTAACTGCCGACCACCATGAAATCCACCGCCCGAAGCCCCTAAACCCAAAGCCCTGAACCCTAAACCCTAAATCTCGCAAAGCTGTGGGAAGGCTGCGACACGTCCGCTGCCCGGGAGAGTCACGAGAACATCGCGCACATCAAGAAGGTGCTGGCCCAGGTCTGTGACATGACGTGGGCGCTCCAGGAAAGCCAGACCAAGCAGTCCGAGCAGATACAGGCCCTCCTGGACAAGTGCGAGGATGGTCCGGCGCAGGCAGCAGGACCGGCCCCGCGCCCTTCGGGACCGGTGCTTTACCGCTCTCCCCCGCAGACACAACCGGGGGCGGGGGCGGGAGGACCAGGTCCCGCGCAGCCCCCCATCATCAACTTGTCAGACACGGTGGCCATGCCGACGCCGTCCTACCGGGGAGGGGCTGCCCTAGTGGTCCTCCCCGGGGGAGGCCAGATGACGCTCGACGCCGCAGCCCTCACGCGCTTGGTGGTGCCGTCCTAGACCTCCGGAACCGGCCGTGGATGTTGAGAACAGCTGAATTCACACGACCAGGAATTCGATGCATGGAATTCCGGCACGCCCCGCCCCGACCCCCCCCCCCCCCCCCGCTCCTAGCCCGTACATGTTACCTCTGCCCTCAAGCCTCGTCCTCCCAAGTAGCCACCCCCCCCCCCAAGAATTGACTGCATGGAATGCACGCTATGCCAGAACTGCCCCGGGCGCACTGGACCTGCATGATTGGCATGGGCACGTAGTCGTCAAAGCTGTTTTAGCTTCCACTCCTCGGAATAGATACTGTGCCGGTTTGCCCCAGGCGCACGGGACCTGCATGACTTGCATGCGCACGTAGCTGTTTCTCACACTCTGTCGCAGATGCACGCCGGCATTCTCGCAGGAGCAATAATGGGAACTGGCTGTCTCGTTGTGGGATTTAGGGGAGCTGTTGCGCATACATGCTGTGTTCTCCATGTGTTCCTCATGATTGCACGGGCACGTAGTTGTTCTCACACTTGGTCAAAGATGCATGCCGGCATTCTCGCAGGCGCACCAACTGGAACCGTCTGTTTCGTTGCGAGATTTGAGGGAGCTGTCGTGCAGTCGTGCTGTGCTCTTCATGTGTGTTCTTCATGCGTGCGTCAGCAGAGACGCTCAGAGTCCGAATCCGCCTGGCCCTTGAGCAGCTCGGAACGTCACGCCCCACAGTGCAAGCAACACGTTGCAGTTTGGAGTACAGGCACCGCCAGAGAGCCCGCCAAACCCACCGCCTTGCCCGGGGACATGCAGGGGAGAGACGCAAGGTCGTCGTATGAGCGGCTCGCAAACCGTTTCGTAGGACCGTGGGTGGAATCTCGTACCGAAGCCAAACGCATCGCCAAGGCCACTCTCGCATACCGTATGGAGGATATCAATCGTTCTCAATCCATTCGTCGCCGCATCAATGAGGAAAACCTTCGGGCTGTGGGGTGGTCGCATGAGGCTCGCGCGACGGTCGAGGGTCGCGCAGGGGTAGGGGGAGAGAGGCGAGGGGTGGTCAAGGAGGATGGCCCGACGGAGGGGCCGGCCTGCTGAGCACGCCTCGTTAGCTACGCACACACACACACAAGCGCGCCCCCCACACGCGCGAGCGTGCACTCAGGTCCGCTTCAGTGTGCTAGATCTGTAGGCGTCCCCTACCTGTCCCCCCCCCCTTACTTGTAACAACCCCGCTAACAGTCTACGGCACCTCGGTGCATCCTGAGCCATGGCCTCTCGACACGATGTGACGCTGGCCTGAGCTGGGAACCTTGGAGCTCGCGAGTTTGGCATGTGGGTGGGACTGCAATGGCGGCTGGCATCCCCAATACAGCAGCACGATGTTTGGGCTGCCAGGGGACACAGCGAGATGTTCAAGTTTTGCTGCCATGTGGCAGCCTTGTGCCTGCGTGCGGCCGGACCGCTTTGGCCGCCCGGCGACACGGAGTGACTGCATGACGAATACCACTGCACTGCATGGAGTTGGGTCGCCGCGGAGGGTGGCAGATGGGGACCCTGCGTCTGCATGGTGCCTGCAACTGCCAGATGCATGACCGCTGGTACGAAGCAGAGAAGGAATTCATGAATTCAGAATTTGTGAATTCAGCAGTAAAGGCCCTGGAACCTGATGGATGCAAAACTGCATGTTGAGTGAAGCTTGGGTTCTGCACGACCTCGGAGCTGACAGTCCCACGCACGTGCACTCTGCATGGACCGTGTGCATGGCCACCACCTGCCAAGTTGCGCCTCCTGACGCCCGGGGATGACAGAGACAGATGTACGTTGTCGAGTGCGTATAGCCACAGACGGCAGTCACTGCTCGGGACATCGAATGCTGAGGATAGAGAGAAGTCTCACCCACATAGCCCTTGCCACATGTTGCTTTCAGGGAGGAAAGGCCGCTCGGGTTGTACTGTTCTGGAGATAGTATTCATACCTGATCTTTGGACGGTTTGCGGCAACCTCCACGTATTGTCGCTAGGTCGCAATGTGCCTAGGAATAGTCAGTCGGGTCTGATGGGGGAGGCTTGTTTCAAGGTGGAAAGGTGATCGAGGTATACTGTTAGCTATCATGGTTTGAGCCCCTCTGTTGGACACGCCGACTGGGTCAAAGAACTTCTGTCGGCCAATGGACATGTACCAATTTGTTTTCTATTTGTCTGGGATCGATCAGGGGTCAGCTCTTCAGTATTGGGGCTTGGCATTGAACATTCGTCGGTGGTAATGCTGACCCTGGTTGGTTCGTTACTGGTGGTCAATGCACCCACTCTGGAGATCTCGACAGGACTTGCCTCGCCCGCTTATGCCAGTGTGAGAGTCGAAACCCTAAACCTTAATTCTAAACCCTAGACCCTAAACCCTAAACCCTGAGGAGCACAAGTGGCTTCAGCAAACTGGCCTGGTCATGCTGCTGCCTCACGGCCTCTTGGTTTAGGGTGTGACGTCCTGCCTTGAAACGTAGGTGCTTCTGGCCGAGAAGACCCTGGATCCATGAGGCAGCAACGCTGCCGCTAGGGTTTAGGGTTTAGGGTTTAGGGTTTAGGGTTTAGGGTTTAGGGTTTAGGGTTTAGGGTTTAGGGTTTAGGGTTTAAGACAAGCTTTGAAGAACATTTTCCCAGATGAACGGGTTGCTTAGTTGCTTGTACCTCGCCACACCCCGTCATGCAACCCTAAACCCTGTAGCCTATGAGAGTCATTCCCTTAAGCTGGAACCACTGCTACCCTAAGTCCAAACCCTAAACCCTAAACCCTAAACCCTAAACCCCAAACCCTAAACCCCAAACCCTAAACCCTAAACCCTAAACCCCAAACCCTAAACCCCAAACCCTAAACCCTAAACCCTAAACCCCAAACCCTAAACCGTAAACCCACAGATGAGGCTACATGGGCCAGGGGGCAGAGCACAGCTCCTGTCGCATTGAGCGCTTCTTGCAGTCCAGTGACGATGACGAGGAGCCTCTTCGGGTTTAGGGTTTAGGGTTTAGGGTTCAGCATCTCAAGTCCAAGCATTTCACTAGTAGAGCTCCTTACTCCGGTATCGAATATCGACCCACCCACCCAGTGGATCCCATAACATTATGAAAATATTTTACTTTATGTTTTAATCTTAAAATTTTTGGTTCAGTCGGCTGCCGGGTGGGCCCTAAACCCAAAAGGCAGCCCAGAGCAGGGCCTAACCTCAATAAAACCAGCCCCGCGTAGGCCCTAAACCCTAAAGCCAGCCCAGAGTAGGCCCTAAACCCTAAAGCCAGCCCAGAAGCTAGCCCACACTAGGCCCTAAACCCTAAGCCAGCCCAGAGTAGGCCCTAAACCCTAAAGCCAGTACCGAGTAGGCCCTAAACTCTAAAGCCTGCCCAGAGTAGGCCCTAAACCCTAAAGCCAGCCCAGAGTAGGCCCCCCGAGCAACCGGCAAATTTTGGTGGAAAACCGTGAAATTTCGGTGGAAAACCGGGAATTTTTAGTGGAAAAACCGGGAATTTTTAGTGGAAAAACCGGGAATTTTTAGTGGAAAACCGGGAATATTTAGTGGAAAAACCGGGAATTTTTGGTGGAAAAACCGGGAAGTTTTAGTGGAAAAACCGGGAATTTTTAGTGGAAAACCGGGAATTTTTAGTGGAAAACCGGGATTTGTGGAAAACCGGGAATTTTTAGTGGAAAAACCGGGAATCTTTAGTGGAAAACCGGGAATTTTTAGTGGAAAACCGGGAATTTTTAGTGGAAAACCGGGATTTTTTAGTGGAAAAACCGGGAATTTTTAGTGGAAAAACCGGGAGTTTTTGGTGGAAAAACCGGCAATTTTTAGTGGAAAAACCTGGAATTTAGAGTGGAAAACCGGGAATTTTTAGTGGAAAACCGGGAATTTTTAGTGGAAAACCGGTAATTTTTAGTGGAAAACCGGGAATTTTTAGTGGAAAACCGGGAATTTTTAGTGGAAAACCGGGAATTTTTAGTGGAAAACCGGGAATTTTTAGTGGAAAACCGGGAATTTTTGGTGGAAAACCTGGGATTTTTAGTGGAAAAACCGGGAATTTCTGGTGGAAAAACCGGGAAGTTTTAGTGGAAAAACCGGGAATTTTTAGTGGAAAACCGGGAATTTTTAGTGGAAAACCGGGATTTGTGGAAAACCGGGAATTTTTAGTGGAAAACCGGGAATTTTTAGTGGAAAACCGGGAATTTTTAGTGGAAAACCGGGAATTTTTGGTGGAAAACCGGGAATTTTTAGTGGAAAAACCGGGAATTTTTAGTGGAAAACCGGGAATTTTTAGTGGAAAACCGGGAATTTTTAGTGGAAAACCGGGAATTTTTAGTGGAAAAACCGGGAATTTTTGGTGGAAAAACCGGGAAGTTTTAGTGGAAAAACCGGGAATTTTTCGTGGAAAACCGGGAATTTTTAGTGGAAAACCGGTATTTGTGGAAAACCGGGAATTTTTAGTGGAAAACCGGGAATTTTTAGTGGAAAACCGGGAATTTTTAGTGGAAAACCGGGAATTTTTGGTGGAAAACCGGGAATTTTTAGTGGAAAAACCGGGAAGCCATTAGCCATTAAATATACATATGATAGAGAGTGTTTAGGGTTTAGGGTTTAGGGTTTAGGGGTACAGACCCTGTGCTGCAAGCCCTAAACCCTAAACTTGGGATGTTCCCCGACCTCCCAACAGTCCTTGATAGGGATCATAGTACCCCCTCTCGTAAGTAATCCCTATGAAGGAAACATCCCAACCCATAACCCAGTGAGCCCTGGGCCCTAGAAACCTCCAAGAACTCCTCGATCGCCTCCCCAAAGCCCTAAACCCTCTAAACCCTAAACCCCAAACCCTAAACCCTAAATCCTAAACCCTAAACCCTAAACCCTAACCCCTAACCCTAAACCCTACACCCGTCAAGGACGACATCCCCGACTTCCAGGATGGCTTCGGCCGGCGGCAGGTGCAGCAGCTCGGCTTCACCATTTTCAGGGTGTTAGGGTTTAGGGTCTATAGGGTTTAGGGTTTAGGGTTCAGGGTTTAGGGCTTAGGCGCATTCGGGGCCGTGTTTCGGCCTTTGTATTTTGAGGGCTCCGGAAGCCTGATCTTTCCTGGGTCTAGACCCGCCAGGAACAACTCTAGCCCCTAGCCCCTAAATCTGTAAAGCCCTAAACCCTAAACCCTAGCTGACTTGAACAGTCCGAGACTGAGAGCCCAATCAGCCCCGAACCCACACATCGCCTCCCCAAACTTCAAGAGACCCAGCAAAATTGCCCAAAGTGCCCAATATCCTTCAATTAGGGAGCATTGCTTAATTTTTTATAGGTATCCTTTATTTGGTTCAGAGTATGTTCCTTAACTAAGGGGTATTGGGCTCTTTGGGTGCTGGAGCTTGTAGGCTTTCAGGTGTGTAGGGATATGCAGGGATGATATGCGGGCATTTTGACCCCAGCCCAACGCCCCAAACACCACCCCCACCCCCCCCACCCCCCTCCCTACCCAGGAAGGCGAACTGGCAGGTGGGCCTGGACCAAATTCGTCCGGGCTTGAGGGTGGAGAGATTTCTAGTTTACAGGTTTCGGAGTTCTCTTGTGCAAGGCATCCTGGCCACTAAAAGAGGTCAGATGAGAGCAGCCGCATTTAGGTGCAAGGGAGGTCATTTCAGGTGCCAGCTGCGGCTAGGGTTTAGTAAACGGGTTTAGGGTTTGGACATGGGTACTTGAGATCATCGCATCCCTCCAGATGACTTCCCCACCCAGCTCCTCACTCCTCAGTCCCCACAAACGTTTACTCACCCACTCATTGAATCGCGAGGGTCTCAATCCGGGCAGTACTAGGCAAGTCCCACAGCAAGAGAAGTCCATCTCTCTCTCTCTCCCTCTCTCTCTCTCCCTCTCTCTCACTCTCCCTCTCTTTCTCTCTGGCGACAAGGCTGCCAGCTTCAGACCCCTCCATTCTGCTCTGTACGCGATGTTTATCTTTAGCCTGCGTTTTGTGAGAGGGCCTCCAGATCTTTTAGGGCTTCCATGTGAGGACCGGGTGTGCTTAACATGGCCCCTTGCCACAGACCTCTGAAAGGCAGGCCTCGCATTCGGACAGGTCATGAACCTGTCCACCCCAGCGAACTACTTCCATGCGCTGCGCCGGCAGCAGCACCGTGATTTCAGGCTGAAGCGTCATGGACACATGTAAGGTAGGGTCTACAATCTACATACAAATTCCTGTTCTTGATAGATGTTTAGCTTCTTATCAGTAGTGGTGGGTGTACCAGTTCACAAAACACTGCCTCCATTCCTTTTGTCTCCAAGTTCCTATCTTCAAGGAAGAAGCCAAAACTCCTTTGCTGCGGCAGCAACACGCGGTCCCAGTCTAACACCCTGCATGTCTCCACCCAGCAGGTGCTCCCTAACCCCCCCACCCCTCCCCTTTCCCCTTCCCTCATGCCCCCCCAACCCCCCCAACCCCCCCAACCCCCCCAACCCCCCCAAACCCCCCAACCCCCCCAACCCCCCCAACCCCCCCAACCCCCCCAACCCCCCCAACCCCCCCAACCCCCCCAACCCCCCCAACCCCCCCCAACCCCCCAACCCCCCCAACCCCCCCAACCCCCCCAACCCCCCCACCCCCCCCCCCCCACCCCCCAACCCCCCCAACCCCCCAACCCCCCCCAACCCCCCCCAACCCCCCAACCCCCCCAACCCCCCCAACCCCCCCCAACCCCCCCAACCCCCCCACCCCCCCAACCCCCCCAACCCCCCCAACCCCCCCAAACCCCCCCAACCCCCCCAACCCCCCCAACCCCCCCCCCCCCCCCCCCCCCCCTCCCCTGCAAGAAGCCGGCGACAAGCCTCGCCCAAACTGCACGTCATCCAGGAAGCCCATGATCGTCGCCTCGCCGAAGAATCTCTTCCGCCTGCGTCAGTGCGGGGAGCCTGGTGGAGGGGCTTCGTCCTTACCTGGACCTCCAAAGTATGTATCAAAAACTAGCCACAAAACCCGCAAAAGGATAAGTTATTACGCACTTTTGGGGGTGAGGGAGTGTAAAGCCATAGACCTCCGAATACATTTGGGGGTTAGGGCTTGTTTTTAGCCCCAACAAAATTCTTAGGGTTTAGTTTAGTGGGGCGGGGGAGCCTTCACCGAAAGTTACCAAGACAAAAAAGGTAGCCTTATGATCCACTTACAATTATAGGAGGGTTCGTGGGCTGACTAGTTTGGGTCAAGGTATTGCTCTGCATCAGAGAACCTACCATGCAAAATCACCGCCTTGCACAAGCTCACGCCAGGGTTGGACACCCCTCCAGAAACCCGGCTCGGTTTCCGATTCGCGCTGCGCCCGCCATTGCCGAGGTGTGAGCCCTCTTGCTGATATGGAGGCCGGGCGATGGTCTTCAGTTTAAGGAATATACCTTAATTCATAATGATAATAATAATCCTTAGTACAAATTAGGGTATATTCCTTAATGAAGGGGTTTTGGAAGTTCTGGGGTCTTGCAAGGGGGCTGCGATCTGTGATTGTGTGCGGGTTTCGGATGCAAGAAAGGCCAGGACCTAGCCCCCTGCAAAACACTGCTTTGTCATAGTGGGGTAACATTTCACATTTTAGGGTGCTTAAGCTTAATGAGGAATAGAATTAGAATTTTTAATGCTATCCCTGCCAACCATGAAGTAGATATAACACTGTAAATCACAGGGCTCGGCCGTGTGTGAGGCCGACACTCGTTTCCAGCGCCTCATCGGCGAGCGCGACCCGGAGATTGCGGGAAACCCTGATAAGGCTCGGCAACTGCATCTTAGCTGGTTTTTTGAAGGAGATCATCTGGGGCATCCTGAACCAAACTGCTGAGGACTTGGCTCGCACCTGCACGATTGTTTTTTTAAGAAAGAGGCTCAAGGTACAAGCGTAGACACCCGTGAGGTCGTTGAACTTCCCTCAAGCCCTCACGCAACAATAGCAGGAAGCCCATGTCTAAGTCCATATCTACTGTAGTCATGATAGTGCCCTTCCAGTATGTTAAGCCCTAGACCCTAAACCCTGTGCCTTGAAGGTGGAGCGCCTCATCTTCTGTAGCGGCAAGATCTACTACGAGCTGGTTGCTGAGCGAGAGAGGTGCATTCAATGTCCAGTTTTCAGGGTTGAAGGGATACAACCGCAGCGACTAGTGTGTAACTCCGACGCCCTAAGGCTTTAAGCCCTAAAGTTCCTAAAGTACTGACCGAGTGCCTCGCCTGGTTCGTCCGAGAATGAGCGATCAACCCCTAAACCCTAAACTTCCAAGTCAGCAAGTCAAAGCTTCAATCTCTCTCTCTCTCTCTCTCTCTCTCTCTGAAGGCAGATTGGGATTTAGCAAGCCGTCAACCCTGAACCCTCAACCCTGTGACCCATCGTGGGCTGGTTGTTAGGGATCAACATGGGTTTTGTTGTTTCTTTGGGGCATCTGAGAGTTTTTTTTTTTTTTTTTGGGGGGGGGGGGGGGGGGGGGCTGCGGAATGCTCGTTCGCATGGTGGGCCTAGAGTAACCCCATATATATATATACACACATATATATACAGCTCGCCCCCCCCCCCATGATCCACACATTTGGCCTCGGGAACGGGGGTTTTGGGAGGGGGGGGACTCCAGACTCCAGATTTCCAGAAAAAATCTGGAGTACCCGGGCCCCGGACTCCAGACTCCAGATTTCCAGAAAAAATCTGGAGTACCCCCAGACTCCAGACTCCAGATTTCCGTACCCCCAGACTCCAGACTCCAGATTTCCAGAAAAAATCTGGAGTACCTCCAGACTCCAGACTCCAGATTTCCAAAAAAATCTGGAGTACCGGGACTCTGGACTCCAGATTCTGGAGTCTGTAATCTGGAGTCTGGGGCCGCGAGTACTCCAGATTTTTTCTGGAAATCTGGAGTCTGGAGTCCGGGGCCCCGGTACTCCAGATTTTTTCTGGAAATCTGGAGTCTGGAGTCCGGGGCCCGGGTACTCCAGATTTTTTCTGGAAATCTGGAGTCTGGAGTCCGGGGCCCGGGTACTCCAGATTTTTTCTGGAAATCTGGAGTCTGGAGTCCGGGGCCCGGGTACTCCAGATTTTTTCTGGAAATCTGGAGTCTGGAGTCCGGGGCCCGGGTACTCCAGATTTTTTCTGGAAATCTGGAGTCTGGAGTCCGGGGCCCGGGTACTCCAGATTTTTTCTGGAAATCTGGAGTCTGGAGTCCGGGGCCCGGGTACTCCAGATTTTTTCTGGAAATCTGGAGTCTGGAGTCCGGGGCCCGGGTACTCCAGATTTTTTCTGGAAATCTGGAGTCTGGAGTCCGGGGCGCGGGTACTCCAGATTTTTTCTGGAAATCTGGAGTCTGGAGTCCGGGGCGCGGGTACTCCAGATTTTTTCTGAAAAATCTGGAGTCTGGAGTCCGAAGCCCGGGTACTCCAGCTTTTTTCTGGAAATCTAGTGTTTAGGGTTTAGTGTGTAGGTTTCAGGGTTTAGGGTTTTGTGTTTAGGGTTGAGTGTTAAGTTTAGGTTTTAGGGTCTAGGGTCAAGCGGCTCGGCTAAAACCCAAATAAAACCCTAAACTCTGAAATCCAAACAGTAAGCATCTGAAACCCCGACGGTTTTTTTGGTTTCAGGTTTAGATTTAGTAGGGCTCGAGGTTCTGGGCTTGGGGTTTACTGTTTAGGGTTTAGGGTTTAGTGTCTAATGTTTAGGGTTTAGTTTGAAATGTTTAAGGTTTAGTTTTTGGGTTAAGTGCTTAAGTGTTTAGGGTTTCGTGCTAAGTGTTTGGGGTTTGTGCTAAGGGCTTAGTGTTAAGTTTTTAGGGTTAGTGTTTAGGGTTTAGTGTTGAGGGTTTCGGGTTTGGGTTTTAGGTTAAGGGGTTTAAGGATTTTTACAAATTTAAATGATCTGGGGAAGGCACCGGGGCTGCCCCAGACCATTGACAACTTAAAAAATCCTTCTGTTTAGGCTTTAGGGTTTAGTGTGTAGGGTTTAGTGTGTAATGGTTAGGGTTTAGTTTGTAGGGTGTAGTGTTTAAGTGTTTAGGGTTTATTGTTTAGTAAGGGTTTAGTGCTTAAGTGTTTAGGGTTTCGTGTTCAGTGTTTGGGGTTCGTGCTAAGGGCGTAGTGTTAAGCTTTTAGGGTTAGTGTTTACGCTGGTGTTTAGGGTTCAGTGCTAAGGGTTTCGGTTTTTTTTGGGTTAAGGGTCTAGTGTGTAGGGTTTAGTGTGTAATGTTTAGGGTTTAGTTTTTAGGGGTGCTTAGGTGTTTAGGGTTTCCTGTTTAGTGTTTGGGGTTTGTGCTAAGGGCTTAGTGTTAAGTTTTTAGGGTTAGTGTTTAGGGTCTGGTGCTGAGTGTTTAGGGTTTAGTAGTGCTCAAGTGTTTAGGGTTTCGTGTCAAGTGTTTGGGGTTTGTGGGCCTAGTGTTAAGTTTTTAGGGTTAGTGTTTAGGGTCTAGTGCTGAGTGTTTAGGGTTTAGTGTTAAGGGTTTCGGGTTTGGTTTTTTGGATTTAGGGTTTTAAGGATGTTTACTAGTGTTCAGGGTTTAGTGTGTAGGGTTTAGTGTGTAATGTTCAGGGTTTAGTTTTTAGGGTGTAGTGTTTGAGTGTTTAGGGTTTCGTGTTTAGGGTCTAGTGCTTAAGTGTTTAGGGTTTCATGTTAAGTGCTTGGGGTTTGTGCTAAGGGCTTAGTGTTAAGTTTTTGGGTTAGTGTTTAGGGTCTGGTGCTGAGTGTTTAGGGTTTAGAGCTAAGGGTTTCGGGGTTGGATTTTAGGGTTAAGGGGTTTGAGGGTTTTTGCAAGTTTACATGATCTGGGGAAGGCACTGGGGCTTCCCCAGACCCACCTAAACATTAAAAATCCTTAAATCTGATAAAAATCTTAAAGCTTCTGTTTAAGCATTCTCGGGATTATGAAGGTTTTAAGCCGTTTAAGCCTTTTAAAGACCTTAAATTGCTTACGTATTTAAGTGGCTGTCCTTTGCGGATTTTTGAGATTGTTGAAGTTGCCAATGGTCTGGAGAAGCCCCGGTGCCTTCCCCAGACAATATAAATTTTTTAACATCCGTAAAACCCTGAAATTCTTACAGTTGTAAATGGCTGTCCTTTTAAAGTTTAAAGGTTTTAGGATGTTCAATTCTAAAATCCGTAACTTCCTTAATATTAAACGGCTGCCCGTTTTGAATTTTAAAGAATTTTAGACTTTTAAGGGATAAACGTTTCGAGGTTGTTAAGGGCTTTAAAGCCTTTTAAGATCCGTTAAATCTTGAAAATCTTGAAAGGCTTTAAATACCTTAAAGCCCTTCAAATTTGAAAAGGGCTGCCCCTTTTAAGGATCTTTAAAGTTGCAAATGGTCTGGGGAAGCCCCGGTGCCTTCCACAGATCATCTAAATTTTTACAAACCCCTAAAACCTAAAACCCTGAAAAGCCTTAAGCTTCTAAATGGCTACCCTTCTAAAAGTTTATAGAGCCGCAAAACACAAGTTTCAGAAGCAAAATGCACATAAAAACACTAGTGTTTTTATAGAGGATAATATAATAGAGCTTTTTGTATTCCAGTGCAGTTTTTACTGCATTTTTCCGGTGAAAAAACAGAAAATCAGACAAAGATGAAGACAGGAAAACCACAGGTGTGGATCATGGGGGGGGGGCTGACCATATACACATTAAGCTTAGGCACTTTTCAAAGGCGGCTTTTCGGCGCGTGTTCATACAAATGCATGTGTATATATATATATATATATGTATATGTATACTTATATAATATGTATATATATATAGTTTATACTTGTTTGTTGTTTCTGTAGAGAGAGGGAGAGAGGGAGAGAGAGAGAGAGAGAGAGAGCGATACAGACTACTTCGCGGTGTATGGTTCAGAGCAGTGATTGGTCTAAGGTGGTCGGAACCTGCGGCCCCACAATCTAGTCGACAACCCCAGAGTGTCTCCCTTGAGAGGGTCCAAGGTTACCTTAGGACCCACACACACCCTCCCACCCACCCACCCACGCACGCACGCACGCAGGCAAAAGGAACAAAAAAGAAGAAGGTAACCCTAAACCCTAACCCTAACCCTAAACCCTAAACCCGGACCCAAACCCTAAACCCTAAACCCTAAGCCAGGCTTGGCCTCAAGAACGTGGCCATCGTCACCATCGAGCAGCTGGCACCCTTCCCCTTCGACCGGGTGAAGCAGGTGGCTTCAAGGGCTCCCAGGACTTAGGGTTTTTTAGGGTTTAGGGTTTAGGGCTAGGGTTTATGGTATTAGGGTTTAGGGTTTGTTTGCCCCGAGTTTCCTCAAAGGCTGCTGAAGTGATTCTGTAGCCACGAGTGCTGCTTACCCGGCATTTGTCACGAGGCCTGGATGTACAGCTTTTTAGGGCTCAAGCCGGGCTTAGGGCCTAATACATGAACGTGAGCCACATCTCAGCCATCATCTAGTTTGTAAGATGTGCGGTAAGCGGGCACCCTTGGCGTACCTGAAGCCAGAGACGCAAGAGGCACTTCGATCTTTCTAGGCCCGATGCTGCTCCCAGCCAAACTGGCCGAAGAAAGGCATCACTGGTTTCAGGGTAAGTTATCTGGCTGATTGGCTCCCTCAGCCCAGATGCAAAAAAAGGGTTGGGGCTGTGTTTTTTGGAGCATGGAGTTTCCCAGAGCACGCTGGCTGACATGCGGAACCAGCCCTAAACCCTCAACCCTAACTTATAAGCAAGCCCCTTAAGTGCCCTAATATGGTGATAAGTACAGTGATAAGTACAGTCATAATTGGTTAATAAGTACCATGAACCTCCAAGTATCCCTAAACCCTAAACCCTCAACCCTACACCAGTCCAGGTCATGGCTGCGTACAAGAACGTGGATGCCGGAGATGGCGTCCATCCCGGGCAGTTCGTCTGGTGCCAGGTGGGTTTAGAGGGTTTAGGGTTTAGGGTGTAGGGTTTAGGGGACGTGGTCAGGATTGTGTGTCTAGTTCAAGTTCCTTCGGGAGCATGCTTGTCCGAGAGTTGTCCGTTAAGTCAGGGTTGTTTCGTCCAAGCAGACCTCTTCAGCGCTCTCAAGTCGCAAGACGTTCAGGTCTTGGAGCCCTTTTCAAGAAGCGAGCCTGCCCGCAACACCTGAAACCCAGGCTACAGACCCCTAAACCCTAAACCCTAAACCCTAAACCCTAAACCCTAAACCCTAAACCCTAAAGGACTTTCTTCCTTCTTCTGCAGGAAGAGCCCAAGAACATGGGCCCCTGGTCCTACGTGCGCCCCCGCTTTGTCCGGGGCCCTGTGTTTAGGGTTTAGGGTTTAGGGTTTAGGGTTTAGGGTTTGGGGGCTTGGGGTTTAGGGTTTATGGGGTTTGGGGTATTAGGGTTTCGGTTTGACCTACGGTGGTTTTTGGGGGTGTCGGGGTGCGGTTTGAGGGGTTGCGGAGACGCATGTTGTCTCAGCCGTTCTTGGGTACATGTGGTCTTTGCCTCGGAAAAAAACTCGATGCTTCGCCATTGTCCCTCGGTTTTACGGAATGACATTTTCTGCTGCCCCAAGCCTTGTTCCAAGAACCCTGGGCCGCTCCCTACATGCCAATTCTATTCCAGCCATGGAACTTGTTACATCCCTCAGGATCCATGTACCTACATAGTATATGCTTGGGCCTTAAAAGGGGTTCCGATATAGTAGCTTTAGGGCCCAAGTATATACTATATAGGTACATGGATCCTTTTCGCATGGAGCCTGACCTCGCCAGCTCTGAGGTGACCACTGCTCGCGAGGGCTTCGACACGGACCGTTAGGGGCCTTTCTGGGTAGCCGGGGGTCTAGACTAGGGGTTTGGTCTCAGTTTTTGACGATTAGAATAGAACTCTCCCCTCAACCTAACATGAACCCTCCCCCCCTCCCTCCCTACCCCCAAATTAAATAGTCCGATAGTATCTGGGAGGGGTGGGATATCTAATTAGGGGATAGGGGGGGGGGGGGTAATATTCGGGGGAGGACTATCGGCGTATGGGCTGTGCATTTTCGGCGCTGTGGAATCTACTGCTCGGAAGGACGGCTTAAAAAGGGTTTGTCAAGCCCTTCAGAGACCTAAGTAGGTGAGTTTGAGAAGCAAGCCAAACCCTAAACATCCCTAAACCCTACACGCTAAACCCTGGTTCAAGAAGCCTCTCGTTCTGTGGCTCAAGAAGGCTCGGGTAACCTCTGAAGCCTTGCAGACACGGAGATTCCAGCCATGTTGGCAGCTCCCCTCTTTGGGGAGGCTTCCCACGAGTCGGTACCATGTATGATCTGTCACAAGCTGGTGCGCGAGACTCTCCTGCCCGACCACCAGGAGGGAATTCCGAGGGATCTTTTTGCGCTTTGCAGTGGAATCCCTTCATACGATGATTAAACCCCTCCCTATTTTAGGAATTGTCTGCCCCCCCCCCCCCCCCCGGTCCCACAGGGTCAAAATCACTAAGATACTATTAGCGGGTGGATTTGAGCGGTTTGTAAAGATCGAAATATCAAACCCAAACCCATCTAACTTCATCTGAAATTCAATTCTGGCTCCAGCGGGGGTGGAGGGGCGTTAATGATACAGAGGGGAGTACACGACTCTTCGGTCATCACGTGGCCATGTCACTCTGTATAATGTTGACCTCATCATATAACCCCCCCCCCCCCGGTCCGTATCCATTCCATCACCCAAAACCGAAACCCTGAAACCTGTGGTGGCCCGGTTTCTTAATTGGGGGGGGGGGGGGGGTTATAATTGAGTTCCAGGCCATGGGTTTCTTGATTGACGAAGGGTTTTTAAAGTTGAGGTTAACATTAGTCATTGTCCCAGAACCCTAAACCCTATAAACCCTAAACCCAAGACCCGACGCCGCCAGCTCTCTCAGTAAGCCCTCAGCCCTCCCTGAAGCAGGCGAGGTGCTACATGCTTTGCGAGCTTCGCGCCTGGAGGGAGCGTGAGTTCTGCCGCGAGAACGCCCAGGCTGACAAGGCAGGCAGCGGAGGGTTTAGGGTTTAGGGTTTAGGGTTTAGGGTTTAGGGTTTAGGGTTTAGGGTTTAGAAGGTGCCTGTGATCTACACCGAACTAGTCAGGTAAGCCAAGGGTGAGCAGAAAGAGCGGAAAGAGCTGAGGGGAATTAAGGGGGGGGGGGGGGGGGGGGGGGGGGGGGGGTTGGGCCGTTCCAAATCGAGTCTCTTTAGGCATGTCTTCATGCGAGATCCGAAAGGCAAGTACCCAAGTACCCAGAAGGTGACTTGAAGCAACACGTCCCCTCAGAAGCTTACATAGTACGAGTCGAGGGAGAAAAGAGCAGCAAGAGGAAGTCCCATGTTTGCAGATGTTTTGCTGCATCGAAGCATCTGCTTCGTGTGAAAAGCTCCCTACACTAAGTAGTGGAGAGTAGGAACTTCAAACCTGTCTGGGGTAGTCGAATCCCTCTAGTCTCCCAAAACTTAACCTTCAGTTCCCCCAGGACACTGGACAACTCAGAACTAAACTCTCAGCCCTAAACCCTAAACAGGCAAAGCTGAAAAAGGATGCTGCCACGTCTTGCCTGCGGCTGTCCTGGAGCCAGGTGCGGGTTGTTTTTAACATTTGTTCCCCCTTAGACTAGGACCCGGAGTAGGCCCTTATTTCCTTTTTTTCAGATTGGGGTTGGAAGGGGGGGGGGGTTAAATCAACCCTAAACCCTACATTCATAGCTTCCCAGCTGCGACTTGAAAGCTTTGTTGTCCTGAGGTCCCTTCCCCACGATGTACCGGGGAGTCCTTCTTGAAGGAATGTCCGGGCTGTGGCAACGAGGCTGTTCAGTACTAGGGGTTTAGGGTTTAGGGTTTTAGGGTTTAGGGTTTAGGCTTTAGGGTGTCGGAATAATTACTAACAATATCCGCTTATGGTCCCTTTGTAGTCATAGTCTTCTACTATAATAACCCCCCCCCAATAGTAGGCTTTTGCTTTTCATGTTTGCTTTGTGTGTCCTTATTCCATGCTGAAAAAGCTTCATATCCTCCGGAAATATTGCTTGGCTTTTGGGTGCTCATCTCTTGGCGACCCCACGGAACCTTTTCCCGGCGTTTAGTGCCCTGAACCCTAAACTCTGAACCCTTTGAACAACCGAGGCAAGCAGATGCTATCGCACAGCCTCCGCTACCATCAAAGCAGGTGGGACTCGCGGTTTAGGGCTTTAGTTTTAGGCACCCTAAACCCTAAACCCTAAGTCCTAAATTCAGCAGGACCCCTTGATACGCCACATCGAATCGAGCTCAGAGGCTTCTGAAACAATAGGTTTCGGACTCTCTTCATTTTTGTAAGCAAGCATCCTATCTAGTATACTGCAACTATTTTACATTCTCTGTTACCGGCCCTAAAACCTAAGCCCTAAAGCACCCCCTAAACACTAAACCCTAAACCCTGAACCCTGAACCCTAAACCCTAAACCTTCCCATGTTGCAGCACAGGTGTCCCGCGGCCAAGGAGGCCAGCGCTAAGACCCAGACCGGTGACAGCCAGGAGGGCAACCTGCATGAGCTTCATAAAGGGGCCTGAATAGGGTTTAGGGTTTAGGGTTTAGGGTGTAGGGGTTGGGGGTTCTTATCGTATATTTGTCAAAGGACTGGAAGGGAACACTACTAGTAGTTTGTCCGACCCCTTTTTTAAGGGCGTTGAGGGCTTTTTTTAACGGGTTTGCCGTTAAGGGTTCCTAGGGAGTTTTTCCTCCCTTTTTCAAAAATGAAACACCAAATCCTCCTGAACTATATGCAGTATTTAGTATATATATATATGTATATATATATATATACATATGAGACATGCATATACACTATGAATTTATATGCACATATGATACAAGGGATTGTCATCGGAATAATTAGCTGGGGGAGATAGTACGGGTGTGTAGGGGGGTTGTGAGGGTTCACGGTGCACCGAGCATGATTCCTGCGCCGGAGTCTCTTTCGGTGGGGGGTTCTGTAGAGCTCATGGCGGGGCAAAGGGTTTAAGAACCCCAAAAATGTAGAACAATACTCACCATGTTGCCCTTATAAGGAATGATATTCTTTGGGAGGTTCTCAGGCAAATATTCACGGTTTCGGGTTTCACTGGGATCTTCCGTGAGCTGATGAGGACAGGTGTTCTTGGGCTCAACAAGAAGGGAACTTCTTTGAGCCCAAAGGGGCCCCTCTTCATGAAGAGGGGTTGTAGGGTTTAGGGTTTAGGGTTTAGGGTAGTCGCTGCCAAGGCAAAGTCCTCTCACCGCGCCCATGTTCCGCCTCACCGTGCTCCTCGTTGAACTCCAGCCGCCGCCCGTCCTGGGCAGACGTCTCGCCGCTCAGCTCGGCCAAGGA